GTGATTAGAGGAATGTAGTAATGTGAAGAATGTGGAATGAAAGAGGGCGCTCTCTCTTTGAGATGTACCAAGTCAAACACTTGAAGCCTCCCTCTTTGTCATGTAATGCAGTTTGGTGTCAGAAGGGTTTAATATCATTGTTTTCACGCCTTGCAGTCTTTATGAGCTCTATGTGTCATTTAATTAAATGTGGATTATATCACATTATATCTGACTGAACAGGGAGGGAAGCAGTGAACTTGTTTACACCTGGTATTCAGATGTATAGTGAACCTATCACTAGTGGAAAACTCCAAGTATGGCTGTTCACATCTAACATTACTTTGGTGTCTCCACACATGTTTATGTGACAAGTTAAAAAGTCATGCACTAATAGGTTAGAATCAAACACTGAGTTCACTAACTGGTATATGGGTACGAATATTGTGGATACAAACATTGCATATATTCACAAGAAATGTACATGGACAGTGATAAAAAAGGATAAAACCATTCAAATACATCTCAGTTATATGCTAAAAGGAACGGTTAGAAGTGCTAGTGTTTAATAGAAAAGATTTAGTTTATTCCTTCTTGGTAAAATTGAGATTTATTGATGATTTTCTGTGATAGTTATGCTGCTGAGTGAGATTATCTGTGATCGATTGCTTTTGTCTCCACCCACATACCCAGGAGAATACGCTGGGGTTTTCCTCATTCTACTAAATGCTCCCGATGAGAAAAAGAAAACAGAATCACTCACAGTGAACTAAATACTTCTTCACAAAAATATTTTCAGTTAAGTGGAACTTTTTTGTATGTAAATATAAAACCCATAAAAGGTTTATTCTTTAAAAAAACAAAACTTTTCTCACTGTAATTAAATGAAAAACAAAATAGCGACAGGATACTGAAGAACTGCAAGCATAAAGCTTTAATAATACAAATATTATTTTACTGATGCTTCCTATGTAAACATAAGTGATAGAAACCATTTAGCAGTAAGCTTCATATCTGCTTACTTCAACATTAATAAAGAGCTGATCGTAAAAAGGAAGCACACCTTTGTTTTTCAAACACTTTAATGGGCTGTGTGTGTTCCAGACTGTCTGTGGGGGAGAGCAGAACAGGACTCTTGACCGCTGCCGGTCAAAATTGGTATCAGGCTCAAGCAGTGCATAACAAAGGAAATGTTAGTCATAAATGATGTTTGCACAGTCACTGAATCAGTTTGTGATACCAAGTGTTACGTGCAGACGTGTGTGTTTGCGTGTGTATGCTTGCTCTTTGCCTTGCCAAATGATTTTGCCCCAGCAGCCCTCGTGTCCCTGTTGCCATGGTTGATGTTGACACAGCGTGTGATGAGGACTGCTGGAAGGGTGTGTTTGATATATATGTTTCTTCAGCCAGAACCTGTTGGCTGTTGCTTGGTCCTTAATTTATTATTTATGTTCTCAAAGTTATAGTAAATGTGAAATGTGCCACAAACACTGTGACATAAATGTGTTGTTATTGCTCATTAGTGTGCAGTATTTATCTGCCATCAAATTCTGCAGAAAACGTTTTCCTATCTTTCCTTTATTTCTCCATCTTAATACAAATACATTTACAGATGATACATTTAAATTAAAGAGAAATACTTGTTGGTTAATTTCTGGGTAAAACATTTCTGACTGTAACAGCCAAGAATGACTTTTGTAGATTATATACACAAAAAACCCTCAGTTAAAAAAACTCTAGCTTTTCTCTCTTTTGGAACAGTATATTTCCTACGTCATTTTCTAAGTTGTCACCATGGGTGACCTTACCTTTGACCCCTCTGGTGACCCCGTAAGGAAGTCTCTAAATCCTATCCCTGCAGAGGGAACACACCAGAGACACTTTGTCGGCTGCTGACAGTTGCTGTAGCCATTTTTAAGCTCAGGTTGACGTTCATGTGGCTACTCACATTCTCTCTCTCTCTCTCTCTCCCTCTCTCTCTCTCTCTCTCTCTCTCTCTCTCTCTCTCTCTCTCTCTCTCTCTCTCTCTCTCTCTCTCTCTCTCTCTCTCTCTCTCTCTCTCTCTCTCTCTCTCTCTCTCTCTCTCTCTCTCTCTCTCTCTCTCTCCTCTCTCTCTCCCTCTCTCTCTCTCTCTCTCTCTCTCTCTCTCTCTCTCTCTCTCTCTCTCTCTCTCTCTCTCTCTCTCTCTCTCTCTCTCTCTTCTGCTGAGATTGTCAAAATATCAACATGTTTTCATACAATTCTCTGTTATTTTAATGGGGATAGTGTCAAAAATGTACCAAAGCTTTCAAAAAAAACCTACAGATTCTATTTAATTTGAACCCAAAGCTGTTACAAGGGAAGAGGTTGGAGCACTGTCTGAATCGCACAAATACATTACATTTTCTGATATTTGGTGCTTAGGACTTCTATGTTTGTTGCTGTGGTTTAGACAAGTATCAATATAATTTGTTTTTTTATAATATCATATCCAAATGTAAAATTCTGGTATTGTGACGATAACTCATCTATCTAGAATCAACAACTTGAAATGTTTTTTTTAACTCAGATATCTGATCATTCCTTCTTCCTACTGTTTAAAGTTTAATATTTAACATATTATGGTCTAAATAGTGTCTTGTATTCCTATAGCATCATGTTAGTACAGTTCTTCCAAGACAAAATCACATGCTGCTTAATCCGTTGTGAGCTTAGGATGCTGCAGATGCCATGAACAAATTCACTGCCTGTCTGAGTTTTAGGCGTGCACACTCCTAACAGCTGTAGTCAGGGGCATTAGGCTTTCAGGTTGTTTGTCCAGCTCTCTGTCCAATACCCCAAAATGAATTATTACATGTGATGGAAATTTCTTCAAATTTGGCAGAAGCGTTCACTTTGAAGCACTTCCATCTACTTCACAGCAATGCTAATTGGGAAACTTGTTACACCCGGTTTAATTGTATTCTCTGCTTCATGAGAGAGACCGGCACCATCAGCATTGTGACTTTACTTTGTATAAAATGTCTTCATATTCAAATGCTTTTTACATTTTGATGCTCAATCTGAATTATTCCTAAACCAATTATCAGCCATGCACATTCATTTTAACCGAGAAGAGTTGAAGTTCTCATGTGAGGGTGGAACCCTCTGCAACATGAGTGTAATCTTAAGGAAAGATTATGTGTTTCCTGTTAAGTACCCACCCTCTGTCCATTGTGCCCCAGTCACTCAGCACTGGTTCCCAGTGGAGAACATTCCCAATGGCTTGAGCTAAGGTGACTTTTCTGCAGTTGTTGTTCTGGCTTTGGAAACGCTTTAAATAGTGCCCATTCAAAATGCATTGTGTCATTCGTTTCAGAAACCAGACATTCCTTAGATAGCGATTGAAAAATGTAAACAGGCTCAAAAGCAACACTTCACCGGTGTTTAGAGCACAGAATCATAGAACGACAGTTTTTGTTTCTTACACTTAAATGAAGGAGAAAATAAAGAGAATTCATGACTTTGGATATTAGATGCAGTTTGACAGTCAGGTTTAGAGGAGGCAGAGTTGGCCCCTGCTATGTATACAAACTCTCTCTCTCTCACACACACACACACACACACACACACACACACACACACACACACACACACACACACACACACACACACACACACACACATATACACACAGACACAGAACAGCAGCTGCCAGCACCTAGTTTGGAGCTGAGGCTCCACTGGCTGTCTATTTGTAGAATGATGGAGTCATGTAGAAGACTGTTTTATGAAGGAACTCTTAAGATACCTTTCAGCTGGGTACACACACACACACACACACACACGTAAATAAACACACACACAAACATAAACACACAGGCATACACATAGTTCAAAGACATTTTACCCTTTTTAAACATTGGAATAGTTACAAATCCAAAAGTTCTGAATGATGAGCACATCTGTTCTCCAATCCAGCGTGAAAATGTTGTCTCCCTGAAGGGCTGGTTTTATGTTGTTTGATGGTTTGTCATTAAGTGATCATTAATTTGGGATGCCAGTTGAGTTTTTGCCACATAAAGAGCTATCATTTACCCAGAGGAGACACTGACTCATTGGTTTGAGGCTTAGGCCAATGTGGGAATTTTAAGGACCATTAATGCATTTTATAATTGTAGCTCTGGGAAACTCCAGAGGGATGTTTAAAGCTTTGGTACAAGCCGTTCACAGACTCTGAGTATATACATGCCATGTTTCCATCATCATGGTCAGGGGAAAAAAACGAGTAGTCCTGTAACAGTCAGAGTGGCAGAGTTTATCAGAAGGGGAACTAACGTATTTGGTAACTGGTGAAACCAACCAATAAGGGGAGGAGCAGTTAGAATCCGTTGTTTAGATATCCTCAATTTAAACCAGCTCAAAGTCAGATTTCAGCCAACAAACAGCATAGCAGTCCTCACGTTAGGATAGGTTCAATATCGGGCTCCTATTTCCTCTCCTCTATATTTGTCTAAACAAACTGTTGCGTAATGTCTTGCTCCAGTGCATTTTGCAATCCCTGAAATAAACAGAAAGTTATTCTCTATTCTGTTCAAATGTAGTTGTCTCCCGTCATGAGCCTTTTTTTTTTTTTTGCTTTTCTGTGTGACATTTCGACTTTGCGCAATATTGAGTTGGAGCCACGTTGTTACATCTACCAGAGGGCTGAGAGCTCCAGCTGTTTAACACACATAAACAAAGACTGATGGAAAGAGTTGATATTTTTCAGTGACTGCAGCTAATAGGAATGCAAAACATTTATCAGTAAAAAAAAAAAAAAAATGCAGCTAAAGGCATTGTGTGATTGTGTGTATACGTGTTTGTGTGATGGCACATTGACCTCTGGTTTGACAGGCGACAGGGTGGGCTCTTTAATGTCAGTAACCTTCCCCAAGAATAGACAGGAGGGGTGACAGGAGGGGGGGGGGCTAAGTGTGTTGGTGTGTGTGTGTGGGAGAGAGGAGGAGAGAGAGAGAGAGAGAAAAAAAAGGGTTGATGTGGGAATGAGAGAAAGCGGGACTGAGTGTGTGTGAGTGAGAAAGTGGGAGAGTACTCCCAGTGCAGTCTGATCAGTGTTACGGTCTCCGTCTCGCTATGTGGATTACAGCTCCCACTGCTTGCTGGATTGCCATTCACATTACTGGGAACATAAACTGAACGAGAGCAGAGGATTTCTACTCAAGTGTTTTGATTTTGACAGCAGTGACTTCAACTCCAAGTGTGAGGAGGACTTTTACATTTTGATTAGGACTGCTGCAGATGATAAGGGAGATGAATGGCCGTGCCTTGCCTCCGTCGATACCTGAGGATGGAGAAGCCCCAGACCATGTAACTCATGGGGAAATGAACGGATACCGCCAGAGGATTCGGGATGGGGATGGGGGCGAGGCTGAGGTCCCGGTGTCAAAGTCCCAGAGACGAAAGAGTGATGTCAAAGTCTATAAGGAGTTTTGTGATTTTTATGCTCGCTTGTAAGTATACTTTTTGAAAGATGGGGCTTAGAGCATTACAGTTATGTAGGCTGGCCCGCCTGATACTGTAAGCCTTTTAAGGGGGGGGGGAATTAGATTTTCCTAATGTGGTCTTTAATCAATACCAACTGGTGTTTCATTATTATTATTTGTTTTATGGGTGTGATGTCTCAACAGAGAAATCCTTGTGGAGTGGTAATAAAACACTGAGCAGCAACTCTTTAAAGGATCTGCTGACCCACCAATAAACTGTTGATTTGTACGCCTCTAACAGGGGAAAAAAACATTTCTAATTGCCATCATTCTTTTAAAATCCCTTTCTCTTTAACGCCTAACTGTAAAAATGTGTAACTGTGTGTCCGGGGGGGGGGGGGGGGGATGGATAAGGAGTCATGGTTTGATTACCTGATTTGGTTCATGGCTGTGATAAGAAGATGATTTCTTCCATCCATGAATTACCTCCATCACAAAGTTTTGGACAATGACGAACATATGAAGATATGAAAATAGTTCAGGTAAAGTGGTTTTAGGTTGTGGTTGTGGGTGTTAAGGAATCTGGTCTCCTCATACACGGACATGGTATTAGTGTATGTGCTCTGAGCTTACTGTAGTGGTACAGAATGTTTGGAATTCTGATATTTTAGTAGCTGGCTTTACCAGCCGGTTTGATGTGCTTAAGCTGCCTTCTGTGCCATGTTTGTGCAGGGAGAGCTCTGGGTGCTACAGCGGGGAGTGCACAGGAAGGGCTATCTTTGTGCCAAGGGGGGAGTTGTTATGCAAAGTAGAATATGCCAACTGGCATTCCAAGTATGTGTGCATGACGGACAGGAAGGCTAAATATACGTACTTTATTTCTGACTTATCTGGTCTCATTACAGGTTACACTAAAACATGGTTGAGGGTGACCCGCAGGTTTGTAAAGGGTCATTTTGAACCATGGAGGTTTTCTCGGTATCGAAGTGAAAATAGGTCAAAATTGGAGGAAGGTATAGAACTCAGCGTGGACATGTTACAGCAGCCATCATTGGTTGACTGTATATGAGATAAATGAAGAGCCGTATCGGTCATGGAAGGAAGACTGGTATTTAAAAATATCAAGTTTTTTCTTCATTTATTTTTTGGGGATTGATAACAATAAGGCATATCCTATTTGATATCATCATCATCATTTGAAAAAGAAAGATCAGAAGAACAAAATTAGATGAAGTTTTTATGTCATACACCTACATATATGGCAACCATTCATTTAAACCCTGTATACTGTAACACAGATTAAAGACTAGAACGTGCTGTTTGAAGCTTCCATATAGCCATCACTAGATTCACTACTTTTGTGATCATAAAGTGTGGATTCCTGCATTGTGCTCCCTCTAAGAATACATTTTGACAAATGGTTGTTTTTCAGATATTTACCAGCATTTTAACCATTTCCCTACTTTTACCTTCTTTCACTCTTTCACCTACTTTACCCTCTTGTTGACCTCTTTACTATAGGGGTGGCTGTGGCTTAGTGGTAGCCAGTCGTCTCCTAATCGTAAGGTTGGCAGATCGAGCACAGCTCCTGCAGCTTTGGGCACTGAACCCCAAATTTACTCCTGAGTGTCATAGCCACGGATGTGTATGAATGAGATAAGTAAATAATGATGGGCACTTCACTTAGCAACCTCTGTCATCAGTAAATGAACATGTGTGCGGGCGTATTTGAGTGCGTGTAAAAGCACTTTCGGTGGACATAAGTCCTTAATGCACAGTCCATTTACCATTACTTACTAACAGTGGATTGCTCTGTATGATTTTCACATTGGCGGACACTTTTTGGACCTTTTTGCCTTTGGATGTAGACATTTAGATGAACTACAGGACAGCTGAAGAGAGAGAGGAAATGTGGAGAGCAGAGAGTGAGTTGACATTACATTGTCCTCATTGTCTATTACGGGTACATAAAATCAACCCCTGGTATGTAATCACCTTCTCACAGCTTAACATGCTCCAAAGGAGATTGTACTCAATTTGAACAAGCGTGTAAAGGACGGTCCAAAGTATTTTAATGATGAGTTAAACTTTTACATTTTAACAAAGGCAGTCTATAACTAAAGGCTGCGTTGCTGCTACATTCTCTTATACCATGGATTCAAAGCTCAGTGTTTGCCGTTACTGTTTACTTGACAGTTTGCAGATTGTGTGAAGCTGGTGAAGGATGTCCTTCATACTACATCAACAACTCCCTTACACTAACTTGTCCGTCCATAATGTCCTCAATCATCACCACTGCATTGAAATGAATATTTTTGTAACTATTCGGTTTTAGCCCCACAACTGCTTATAAGCGTGTCTCTCCTTCATACAGGGCGCTGGAGGCAGATAGGAGGGTGGAAATGCCTAAGGGATGTATCATTTCCTCCCTTAAAGCCTTTGGACAGGGCAGGGCTGTCAGTGTGTCTGATATCAGGCCAAACAGGGTATATAGAACAATATGTATTTGATAAGTCTGTGAGGAGTGGACCCAGATGGAAGCTGAGCGTAATCCCACATCTTCTTCCCTCAATTCGCCTTTTTTTTTTTTTAAAGAATATAACTCTCAACAATGTTTTTAGTGCAGATCATAAAAAAAATGTCTTGTTAAAGATAGTTTAATTGACAACATTGAATAAAATCCCAAAAATCTGAATGGATGAGCAGCGTGTCTAGGAGTTTGCGGAACTCTCGTTCTTTCCCAAATTGCTCTAACTAAGTTTATATGAACAGAATCCATCACTCCAAACAAATCCTACACAGTCTTGTTTGTGTGTCCGTGTTGCCTGGATACGCGCTGGTATTCTGACCTTTCAAACAAAGTCGAGGAGCAAGGAAGGTCCCTCCATTCTCTCCCGACTTTCTCTTTTTCTCTTCAACATCTTTGTCTGCAACAGCTTCCCATTAACTTCCAGAAACAGTTGTTTTCCTGGGCATTGTAGCATTCATGATGAACTTTGCTCTTGTTGTTGTTTCATTATGATGATCTGATCATGGATGTAGCTCGGGGTTTAATTCAGTTCAAAATTCTGACAGAAGAAGGTTTGGATAGCTATTTCCTAAAACAAACCATGAGATGATGAAGTTGTGTCCACTGGATAGATTTGGTCTTTCCCTACAATAATAAATAATTAAAACATCCTTTTCATTTCAAGTTAATTAAGTTATTTTAGGCTGATCAGATACATATTGGACCAATCATCAAACTATGAGCAGTATTCATACAATGGCATCACTTATTGGAACCAATGGAACCCTATTTCACAACTATGAAGAAATGTTTCTTACATGTTTCCAGTTTGAACACGAGGAGAAAACACCAGAGTCTGGTCCGTGTTGTGTTTTCAGGTGTGAGTGGTTCAAGATATAAAGGCGAAGGATTGTCATTTCATAAATAGCCATTCACAGTCAAGTGTCCTTTAAGTTATGTTTCATTCTAACCTCTGACATACATGTAAGTTACTTTTTTTCATTTTAACATCTGCTTGTCTGGAATAACTCGTAAATTTGATGGTGAGCATAACAAGAGTCGTAAATAATTACTTTTCTAAGAAACACTGAGGCAGGTTTTTTGGGGCGTGACCGTATGTGTGCTGCAGGTTCTGGCACCAGCACCTCATATAAAAGTTAGTAGCCTGGGGCCCCTCCCCAGTGATGTATTACAGTCACTTTTAGCAAGGAGGTAAAACAAATAGGATTGATTAATGAGAGGGCGGGGTTTGTTTCATATGTCATTTTAACTCTACAACGTCAGTACATAGGTCTGTTCTTCAGCCTTGTCAGTCCAGTCAGTGTGTCCCATGTCTGTGTACACACACCTCACTTACAGATGTACTGCTGCTGAGCCCAACAGTGCACACAGTAACTTGAGCTTCATTCTCCAAAGACAACATGTAGATTTCCCACCTCGTAGAGCCCCCACACCCTGATAAGCAGAGCCAAAATAAACCTTCAACACAGATATTGTGTGTACGTTTTCAACTCTCCTAACCTTTTACATCACATTTCTCCCACCCTCCTCTCCTTTCTCTTTGAGTTAAGATCTTATGGAACTTTAAATGACTTCTTGGATATTTCTTAGAAAATATGACTTACAAAGAAATACATTCAAACTAAAATATGGACTTTTTTTTTTTTTCAAGTAGTGTTGTAGTTAAGACCACACTAACCAAGAGCAAGACATACCTGAGACCAGAGTGCTCCGAGACCGAGACAAGACCAAGACATTTAGGGATCGGGATCGAGACCAAGTCGAGACCGGGACCATAAATATCACTGAAAAATCATCATGTTGTGTGCAGCGGGTGTGTCACTCACTTACACAACAAGGGTTGGGTCCGGGATAAAAACCAAACTACACATGATTTGAAGTGATTTGTTCCTTTAGAAAAGGGCATTTTTCTTTTCTAATCACAGTAATGACAAGGACAAATAGCATTTCGGTGGAGGTCTTGACTGGTGTTAAGTTAAAACCGGAGTCCGCCCAGTCTGAGATCGAGACAAGGCTGAGTAAAAATTATTTTGATTCCGAGACGAGACCTTCAAAAAGTGGTCTTGAGACCGGTCTTAAGACCAAGACTGATTTTGAGTACTACAACACTTATAACAAGATATATAACTGCTTCAATAATAATCAGACTCATGTGATTTGACATGTTGAAGTAATGTTTTAACAAGCTGCAAACAGTAAAGAATATGAACCATTTCATAAGTTCATCGCAATTTTAATAGTAACTATAATTCAGAGTCACATGTATCTGTATTTTTATATTCAAATAAATTCTGTAATTATTCATTGTACTAAATCTTAATAACATTGTAATAAATGTCAGTTTATGCTCTTGTATATTGGTTGAAATAAGTTTTTTTTTTTTTAAATAAATATTGCATTTCCTGCTTCATAATAATAATGAATGCGATGAAATAACCATGTTACTCTCTGATCCTGATTGTGACGTCTCTGTCTTCTCAGCAACATGGCCAATGCTCTGGCCAACGCCATGTGCGAGCGCTGCAAGAGTGGTTTCGCCCCGGCGGAGAAGATCGTGAACAGCAACGGGGAGCTTTACCATGAACAGTGCTTTGTGTGTGCCCAGTGTTTCCAGCAGTTCCCTGAGGGACTCTTCTATGAGGTACCCGTTTTCTACACCAGTGTCTTCTTGGTGTTTCTTTGACTATCCAGTGAAAATAGAAAGTGTAGTCAGTCAGTCAAGATTTTAACACTAAGGGAAAAGATTGCAGTGAGCACATAAGATAACTTTCTACAAACCATACAGTAAAGGTAAATACACAGTGAATATTACACCATGCCTGAATCAATAAGAAGGCTAAAAAATGTTTAGATCCTGTTGTATGAATTTTAAAATAACATCACTTTTAGATTTTTTTAAACTTTAAATTAAATTAAAATGGCCTGAGTGGTCACATAACTGGTTCTCTATTACAACCTCATCATCACTGTTTAGAAGAGATTCCTTAAACAAAGAGTCTAAGCACATGGTCCTGTTGATGTGAATAAAGAGAGGGGCATTGAATTATTAAAAAACCCCTTCCAGTAAGCTGTGTGTTTACCAGCTTTGACACAAGGCCAGGTGTTTCTCCGGTCGGCCCCAGGGAACCTGATGCTCCTCTGTTTAGTCAGTGTTTCAAAGAGAAACAGTCTCTCACACTACAGTCAATATAAAAGCCATAAGGCATGACATTGACTCATCCTCCAGGGTAATGATTTTACAGGTTGCCATAAATAAACAGTAAGCTGCTCATTACCCACCCCTCTGTGCTCAGCAGTATAAACATGTTTGGATAAGGAAGTGGGGTTCGAAATGGAAAGATGATTCTTGCTTTTTAATGACCCTGAGCCTATAGGTGTCAACACTGAATGTTCTTTTCACTATAGTCTATTTCCTTCTTTTTCTTTTTTTATTCTTGTAAGATGTAGTTTTAGAGCATCAATGGTTTTTCAGTTAAATATCTTTTTCAAATTAAATCATAGTAAAATGTTGGTTGAAAAACTCCATGACTCACTTTGTAGTGAAGGGATTCATTGATGTATTATGTCAATAATTGGCACGGTGATAAAATTGTCACACAAAGAACTATTATTTTTTGCGACGTAGAAATGGGATTGTTGCAGAGAGAATGTGACGCCATGCTGCACTGATGACTGTGAGGATTAGCACTGAGTTTGTACAGCACGGCTTGCAGACCCAGGATCACATGGGGACTCGTGACATTGGACATGTGATTCAGATATTAAACCCCACATCTGCATTTGTCGCTGCACAATCCCACAGAGGGAAAGATAAGATAAAGAAAACTAGTTTTCATCGAGCATTCAGCACAGATCAGGAGGGCTTTCCTAAATGTCCCCTTTGCTTTCTACCTTTGACAGAAGTGTGTTAATATTGCTGAGTACTGTTTAAGAGCTGCTAGAAAACTGTATCAGCCTTTTTCCCCCTCCTGTCCCTCAACTGTCTGCTCTTCTTTGATTGGACGTCTTACTGACAGAAGGAACGTCTTTGTAGAATCATTCAAAAAGGTTATGGACTGAGTCATAGTTTTTACCAGAATAACACAATCGGGTTGTCAACATTATGCTTATTGTGGAGTAGTGCAGAATCGTTTAATTTCTTGTTAATTGTTTGGATGTTCATCTGTGTGGTTTTAACGCTGTGTACCAATTGTTTGAATTTTTTGGACAGTTTGAAGGCAGGAAATACTGTGAGCATGACTTCCAGATGCTGTTCGCTCCCTGCTGCCACCAGTGCGGTAAGTACAAGAACTGCAGTAACATAAATACTAAATTTCCATCTTCTGCACCTGACTCTGCCTGTTCACACTCCAGCTGCGGTGCTACCTAGAAGAAAATGCTCTTTACACGATCAATATCTGTGTGACTGTTTGCTCAAGCGTTCCGTAATCCCTCCATTTTTCTCCAGGTGAGTTCATTATCGGTCGTGTGATCAAGGCTATGAACAACAGCTGGCATCCAGACTGTTTCTGCTGTGATATCTGCCAGGCTGTGCTCGCCGACGTTGGATTTGTCAAGAATGCTGGAAGGTCAGTTCCTGTTACTCAGCTTTGTTTTTTTTCATTTTTTCATTTTTTCATTTCCTTTTATAATCTGGTCCTCACTCTCTCACCAGGCACCTGTGTCGTCCATGTCACAACCGAGAGAAAGCTCGTGGCCTCGGCAAGTACATCTGTCAGAAGTGTCACGCCATCATCGAGGAGCAGCCTCTCCTTTTCAAGAATGACCCCTACCACCCGGATCATTTCAACTGCAACAACTGCGGGTAAACATGCACATACAAACACACATGGCCAGCTCTGTCAGTCTCACAGATTGGTAGATTGGTTTGTTTGTTTTGGAAGCCTCGGGTCCGACTGCAATCATAACTAGAAGTGACTATATGTGGATTAGAGGGAGAGTGGAAATCTCCATTCTGATTTATTTATAGGTCTTTATGGCTGTGACTTGTCTATCAGATTAGCCAGATCATAATTTATTCCCCTTTATCAGCAAATAAACTCTAAATGGGACCATGATTTTCCAAACACTTGAAACTGGGTTAAGACTATAAAGTCTTTAGCAACATGTTGACTAAAGTAAAAAAAAAAAAAAAAACAAGAAACAAGAAAGAGGTAGAGTCAGTTTCTCATCAGTTTTTATACCGTTGGACTTTGTTTTATAAACAGTGGAGTCTCCTCCTGCTGGTCAATACAAAGAATGCACGTTTCCACATGGACTTAACTTTTGAAGTTCACATCCACTACTTCTACAGCCGATGGTCTCACAGAGTATTCACAGCATGAAAACAAAGGGAGGACTGTTGAATTCAGTCCTGAAAACACGACAGACTTTCAAATAGAGGTGTATGAGCGCTTTGATTCTTAAATCTAATGAATATGAATATTAAGAGATAGAAGAGACCGATTAGACATGATTATCGAAACATAAATATGTGTTGTAACTTCACTGATAAACCGTCATGAATCTGTATGGAGATCCAAATAATGAAAAGTACATAGACACTGCAGATTTATAACCAATACTGGAAAAATGCTCCATTTTTAGGGCCTGATTTACAAATTGTTATGCGGCTTTTGCGCTCGCTCAACCTGTGCAAACCTCTTTGGGCATGTTTGCGCCTTGATGTCAGTAGTACTATAATGCTTTGTGAATTAGACCTTGAAGTGAAGCAGATCGCAGATAGCTTCAATCTGTTCTTAGTGAATCAGGTGTTCAATCTGCAACAAAATAAAGGATCAGAGAGTGCTCTCTGGTGGACAAACTTTATTACTGTATGTACACATATGTCATGTGATTTAACATGTGAGTGTCTCATGCTATCTCATAAAAAATCTCTTGCTTTTCAATTGTATTATATTTACATTTTTAACCTCTGACTGTACAGAGTGTTCTTTTTTCAACCGTTTTTGTAACATAGTTAAAATCAGTATTTTTGACATTCTGGAAGAAGTACACCTCTGTTGTTTGGTTGGTTAACTTCAGATTGATTAGTTTGGCTATTGTGGAAAATGTTTAGGTGGCTTGCATTTGCTTTAATGTACGTTACATGAGTGAAAGTCAAGCTGGTCTATCTAGTTTAATTTGATTCTCTCCGCAGTAAGGAGCTGACGGCTGATGCCAGGGAGCTGAAGGGGGAGCTCTACTGCCTGCCCTGCCATGACAAGATGGGTGTTCCCATCTGCGGTGCCTGTAGGAGACCCATCGAGGGCCGTGTGGTTAACGCCATGGGCAAGCAGTGGCATGTGGAGGTGCGATGTTACGCTGTTCACTTTTGTTACACGTTAACTGAAGCTTAAGAAAGGATGAACTCTCAAATTGAAAAATATCTTTATATGTTTGGTATTGTCAGCCAGAGTAGATGAGCATATATTTGACATTTGAAATGTGCATATTTCTGTTTCGTTTAATAGACCTAAAATGCAATTTACTTGAAAAAATGTGATCCATAAGAAAAGGGAAAAAAAACTCAGGAAGTTTCAGGATTACTTGTTTATAGCTTGATATTGTTGCCCCTGTTATTTTTCTCTCTTTCTTTACATCAATAATTAATACATTCCATATTTGTGTCTCAATCTTTCACCAGTCTTATATTCACAGTTCTGTTCAAGCTGCTCCATCTCTGAGCTGGGAAAGTCTCTGTTTGCATTCTGTCTGTTTTTTTCTTGTATTCTCTTTGTCGTCATATCACATCCTATCTCCATCTTTTCTTCTGTATATTCATTTTTTATTGTCATTTTCTGGTGTCCCCCGCTCCACATGTAGCATCATGTGTGCACTGTGTGCGAGCGCCCGTTTCAGGGCCACCCGTTTTATGAGCGAGGTGGTCGAGCCTATTGTGAGAGACACTTTGACATGGTGAGGGGATTATGGATTGGCCTGACGTTGACTGCTGCCCATGTCTCACTTGTCCCTGCATAACTAGAATGTCCCAGCTTCCCTACACTGGTTACACTAACTTTTAGCTTTACCAGTTAGTTTCTGTCTGTCTGACCAGCTCTTTGGAGCCTGATATCTATGTATTTAAGGTATAAAAACAATCACTATCTGCAGACATTCATCTTTTATTTGGCTTTTACAGTCTAAAATGTGATGATTCTGCACTGTTAAACTCATCACTTATGTCTTATATCACAGACACATGACATAGACAGAGGGCTTAAATAGGCATTACCAGAAAAGTGTACATTCCCTTTTAATATTTGTTATATCCTACCATTACTTGTTAATGAGTACCCCCTCTAGAGCTCACTCTTCAGACCTCCCTCCCTACTCTCTGGTGGAGGAAGTTAGAGGATATCTGGACTAAACTTGATCTGCTTGTGGTCTGACCTTGTAATGTTTGTGATAATGGACTGACTGACAGCTGTGCTAACCATGTGTGCTTGCCTGTGGGTCTGTTTTCAGCATTTTGTGTGTGCTAAGTGTGAGAAACCCTTCCTTGGACACCGTCACTACGAGCGCAAGGGTCTGGCTTACTGTGAAACACACTACAACCAGGTAACACTCAAAAGTATCAGAATCATTCATTTTTTTAAATATCTGAACCATGGCAACCGACTGGGTCCATGCATTTCACCAAGGCTGCTAAAATATGAAGTGATAATGGGGAGTTGGACATGTAGAAAAGGGACAAGATAGTATGCTACAAAACTCTGTTAACACCTGCAATACAATTTCTGTCAAATGAGGACATTTACAGGCCTATGTGATTGACCATAAATGCACCATTATGGCCACATGGGCTGCTTGTCAAAAGGCAAGGCAAGCAACTGCTTGGGGCCCCAGACCAGTAGGGGCCCCTGAGGGCTTACAAAACTTGACCAAACCTCTTGCCCTTCTCAGCGTTGCATGCATTATTGCTGTGAAAACAAAAGTTTGTCAATGAAAGTCAACAAAGAAAAATTAGCTGTCTATAGGAAAGAAAAAGGAAAAAAGAAGAAGAGGAGTAAGCGTTGGCTGGCAGACATAATGGTGATGAGGGCCCGAACAGACTCTAGAATCACTACTGATTATGGCCATTTGATTGTCACCTTTAATCACAACAATTGGTGGAATGTGATAATGATTCATAAATACAAAATCAAAGAAAAACTAAGCAGTAAAATGTCATCTTTTTGTACCTTAAAAATTGAAAGACTTCTAAAATCCACTGTTACTATTTTGCTGAACCCTTATTTAGTTGATGTATTAGCTCCTCCTAGTGTTGGAGTATTGCAGTAATTTTTATCCCACCCAACCCTTCAGCTTCTAAGGAAGTTTACAAAACGTGTTGCCTCTGAAGTCTGTGCTTGTTAGCATGTTTTTTTTTCTAAGGAGGCGTGTTGTATGAACCATGATAAAGAACGCCACTTTTGAAAAGTGTTACATTATTCCATTACATCTTAAGACGTGGTATTGCATCACTCACTCTCTGTTTGTCTTTCCTCGTCTCACCTAGCTGTTTGGAGATGTTTGTTACCACTGCAATCGTGTTATCGAAGGAGATGGTGAGGAATGTTCTTTTGATATGTCACTCATTAAATTGTGCCGCCTTTTCTTTTAACAATGTTCCTCTCTTTCACACATAGATTGCTTTAGTGTGAACTTGTAACTGTGCGCAGGTTTTCCTTTGGAAATGAGATAATCAGAATTTATGAATTGATGATCAGATGAAGCCACAGTCATCTGACGGTATTCCTTCTATTTTTCCAGTGGTGTCTGCCCTCAACAAGGCGTGGTGTGTCAACTGTTTTGCCTGCTCTACCTGCAACACCAAGCTCACCCTCAAGTAAGTGATAAACAGGCCTAATGTTACAGCACACTAACATTAATAATATAACTGTGTAGGGGGATTGATCAACACATGTTAGTTAGCCTAGCTCTCTCTTTGCTTGTCATTATTCTCTTTTAAATCTAGCTTGTTAACTGTCTGTAATTCCAATCCTGTTCATTTCTGATTTTTAAGCTTTACACTTATAATTCTCTGTCTCTCTGCGGGATACTTTCTTTACCCCTCCTTCCTTTTATCATCCCTCTTCTTTGGGCTCTTACTACCTTCTCCTGCTCCCCTTTACCTTCCGCTGTGCTCTCTACGATCTCTTTCTTCTCCCTGTTCTTGTCACTCATATGTCTTTCCTCTCCTCCTCTCTCACTGTCCTTCCTCTTCTCTTCCATAACCCCCCGCCTCCTTTCCCCTCTTCGCTGCTGCTCTGGCAGGGAAAAGTTTGTGGAGGTGGATCTGAAGCCGGTGTGTAAGCACTGCTATGAACGCCTGCCGGACGACATGAAACGCCGGCTTGCAAAGCGGGAACGCGACTCAAAAGAGAAGAAAAAGAAATTGATACCCATGTGTCTGTGATCCTCTATTTCTCCTTTCTTCTCACTTCCACTGTTCTTCCTTTGGTCAGTTTCCATCTTCCTTTGTTTTTGTTTCTGCTCTTTTGTTGTTTCATTGTCATCAGATTTCAAACATTCTTTATGTCACTTTTATTTCCTCATCTCACAGTTACATTTGGTTCATTTTACTTTGTGTACTGTGTAGGTGTACTCAGGACACCTTACACTGGCTTTAGTACATGACCACTTCTAAGCCAGGGACACTCGTCGCTATTTAGACATCTACTCTGGTAACCCTGCTGCTATGCAAACAGGAAAAGCAGTTCAATCACATGGTAGAGGGTATGCGTTGTCTTCTGGGTCTCCCTGCCTGCCTGCCTGAAGGCTAAAACTTTAATCACTTCCGGCAGCTTTCTAGCTGCTGAGGTCTCAACAGGTTTGACACGTGCCTTGGTGTTGCCGGTGATTATCTGCTTTGGAAGGGAATGGCGTACAGGGCAGATGGAGAAAAAGGTTTAGTGGATGTCGAAGTAGGAGCATTTATGCTGAAAACTATCAAAGAGCACAATTTACAACAGCCAGGAGGATACATTTCACAATCTGTAATGTAAAGCTTGAAAAAGCTTGAAAAAAATAAAATAAAATCCCTAGAACAGTAAAAACAGGGATAGGCAGTCTTGAGATAAATAGTTGTTTTAATTTAGACAGTAGCGGATGAAGAAAATCTGAAAAAAGATTATGTTTCACGAGCTACAGAAAAGTCTAAAGAAAATGATGTTTCATATTTTTTCTCATAGTGTGCAAATGAGACAATGACTACATTCATTTAGAAGGGAACATTTGGCATAACAGCTTAGGTACAAATCTGTTCAGTTGACAATGGCAATGATTCGAAACATCCATCCACAAAGTTCATGTTTGACCACATAGTTTTGTTGTTTTCATTTTTTGCGCAACACATGCACGTCATATATCAATTCATATTCGGTTTGAGAAGGGATTTTTAAGGATATGATATGTATGACTGATAATGTATGAGTGTGTTGATGACGTTTAATCTCCAACCTGTAACAATGGCTTTGACTCTTTCTCCCACAGGAACAAGTTTGTGGAGTTTGACATGAAGCCAGTGTGCAAGAAGTGCTATGAGAAGTTCCCTCTGGAGCTGAAGAAGAGACTGAAGAAGCTGTCTGAAACTGTTGCACGAAAGTAACCACACAGTTGAGATGTCATGTGTCTGGAATGTAAAATCCAATATGATGACTTGTGTGTATTGTATGAAGCAGTGAGTGGAAACGATCATGTTTTATTTTCAGTACAACACTCCATATTTTCTTCCTTTTACTTACAGATAATCTTTTCATGGGCCTCAAGCTGACAGATTGTTGGTGTGTCTATCATTAGGTTTAACATTAACCTGTTCAGTGCCTTTTGGCTCAAATACTGCACTGTATACTTTTCACAAGCTTGCCTTATTTCATCACGTAAACTTAACCAAAACACAGATATTGGTGGTCCTGTATTTCAAAATATGTATGTGCTTTAAAACAACATGAAAATGAGAGAATAAAAAGTGTATCTCCAAGCTATAAATGTGCTTGCATACATGCGCCGAAATGCCAAGCAACGTGTCCTGTGTTTGACTAATGTTACTTACTCCTGTAAAATTACTGATTAAATCCAAAGAAAGTTGAAGACAATATGTTCTTTCGAATGTGTATAGCATCTCTATTGTATTCTTTCCCACCAACTTACTATTTTATATATTATTATATTATTATTTTCTTGAATTTATGCGCAAAACTTTTTTTTTGAGCTCTATCAAGCGGATTATTGTATGTTTTTCTTTGAAATCTTACTTTGGTTTTTTAATGCTACATTATTGCTCTCAACCATTACATGTATCCTGTTGGATTACCTTTTTATGTTGTATGCATTTCATGTGTGAAACCATCTGTACACTGGTGTTAACATATAGCTGGAGCCAAGCTCCCTCTTTCAATATAATGCAATCTAGTACAACAGCCCTGGAATAGAAAGCAAGTTTATAATGTTCCACTTTTGTTTCATCTGCTGCCATGAACAGTAAGGTATCCAGTGCAAGTTTAAGAAATACCTTTGACACATTGTCAACTAACACTGATGATTAAAATGTTCACTTTGACAGGGTTTACTGCATGGCAACTGTTAACTCTTGTTTGTTACAACATGACGCCTTGTGACATGTGCAACGACCGGATGTGGGAGTAATGTTAGATGTTGAACATGTGTCTCTGCTGTTTGTAATCCAGAGAAAGCGATCCTCTTAAAGAGGTTTACCGACTTCCTCAAGGCTCAGACCTCTTAGAAAAGAAAGCCAACTGTTGTAAATTAGAGAGAATCATTTCCATTCTGAAATAAAGTTTCACTCAAGCAGTATTTTATCATAACATGCCTTTGACACAGTGATTAGAAGAGAAAGACATTCCATGCTACCATGGGAATAAGAAGTCCAATGTTACTTCAGTGAATTTCATTGCCGTATGCCAAAATATTTAACATGTCTTGTCACACTATCCACTGGACTGTTGTGAAGCAGAACTTCAGCTCCACTAAAAATAGTTCAGTGGATATTTTTATTTGATATCCTAGTACCTAGATGACTGCAATGCCTCCACACAAAAACGACATTGCCCTTATACTGTACTCACAATGCTTGTCAAAAGACAGTATTTATTCATTTAATGTTAACACTCAAAAGTGCTGTTTTTTTTAAATATATCTGTGAAAGGCTGTCTACTCATCTGAATAAATATATATTAAATCCCACCTGTGTGCATGTAGAAATGTTTTTGTTTGATAACTTCTCATCTATTTTTAACTGTGACATGACATCACTTGCATGCTTTGAATGTACAGGTGTCGATAAGTGTCGTTTCATACAGCTCTTACACCTTAACTAACAAAAAAAAAAACCTGGGTTTAATAACTATTGTAGTTGAAAATAGAGAATTAATCTTCCAAAAGCCATGTCTATGCAGCATCGCAAAATACAAAGAAAATAGGTTTTATTAGTTGTATAAATTATAATTATATTATTGCTGTTTGAATTATACAACTGTTCAAGACAGACTTAGCAGCCCTGCTGGCCCACGCCTTTCAAAATACAGTGCGTCATCGTACGTCACACTGACTATTCGTTTTTATTGGTTAAGGATCCCGATTCAAGAAGGTACCCCCGTGACCTCAGTATCGCGACTGCGCATTGACGACATGGGGAGTTAATGCTACGGAGTGACAGTCGAACCGATATCAATGCCAGTTTCTATAATTTGTGCGTTCATGGTATTGCGTTCATTATCAGACATTTTTAGTGGTGTTCATTTGTTGTAAGTCATGCGGCGGAGTAAGGTTGAAGTGGACCGCTACGTGTCCACAGTACTGAGTTCGTCTCCTTCACTCAAAGAGGTAAGTTGAGCCGGTGGCTAATGCTAGCATGTTCCTGCTATCATGTAGACCAGCATGTGTCAGCCAAGCGGTACGAGAAGACAACACAAACCCCGGAATCAAAACAGCTTTATGGTTAATTATCCTAAGCCGACGTTTACTCAGTATGAATGTTGTGTTAAAGTGTGTCCCAGGCTATCTGCGTGGTTGTGTGCTAACCTGCGAGGTGACGCCTCGTCGTGTCCTCTGGACTCAGAAATTGCGCGGCATGGAGAGCTGCTATCCACTTAGCCGTGCTAGTTAGCTTTCACTGTGTTACTTTGACTACTCGTTACAACAACTATGAATGGTTTGCATCATGAAAAACTTGTCTTCATTTCCCCTTTTCACCACAATTTACATCGTTGAATTATGTAGTAACCATAGCGGAGGGCATTTTAGACTTAAGACTGTATTGTCCCCAAGACAGATGATAACAGATGGACAAACACAACAAGATAACATGCAGACAAATATATAGACAGGGTGGGACTGGGGTGTTTTTATTTTGGCCTATTGTTGAGGTAACATCACATGTAAACACAAGTTAGGGGACTGGTATATCACCACTTACTTTGAATAGTTAAGTAAAGAATTGGCAGTGGTTTTTACAGGTTTGGCTACTAAATGTTATGTTAACTTGAGGTAACTGGGCGACATATTCAGCCAACATGATGAATGCCTTTGTCCTGATGTCAAACGACATTAAGTGTATAACAAAGCTCATGCTTAAAGGTGTTCACATATGCAGTGATTATCCTTATTTAAAGTTGTAATGCTAACCTTATCAGTACTCAGGTTTGTCGAGACACCTGTTTGTGTGAGCTAATTTTATCTAAGATTGTTGATTTACTGAAATTGATACTGGTTTATTTTTTCCACAGAAGCCAGTCAAAGGATTTTTATTTGCTAAATTGTACTTTGAGGCAAAGGAATATGAAACTGCTAAAAGGTGAGCACACTAACAAATAATAATAAAAAAAGAGTTATTTCTTCCCAAGTGGTCTCTGAAAGGATTCAACAGTTGTCTTGCTTTTTTATTCTTTTCCCAGACATGTGTCAGATTATCTCAAAGTCCAGGAGAGGGATCCAAAAGCACACAAATTCCTTGGACAACTGTTTGAGAGAGAGGGAGACATCAACAAGGCAGTAGGATGTTACAAGGTATGGAAAAAACAAAGCCCTTGTAAGAATGCATTAGAATTGGAAATCAATTATCTCTTCTCTCCCCCCCCCCCTTTTTCCCTTTAACCTTTATTTTGAACAGGTAATCTTATAACACTGGGTTTTGATCTTGAGAGACCTGCAATAGACAACCCATTTCTCATTCTTTCAGCTGCACATTAAATGGCATAGTGTGACAGCAGCCATCACTACAGCATGAACAGAAATCTATACTTGTAGTTTGCCTACAGTTCATTTGGCGGCTGGCGTCTCTCTCCTGATATCTTTTTTTTCCAAGCTGTTTTTTCTTTCTTTTATGTTTAAGTGGACAGATACCCAATAAGGACACCTTTAATCATAGTGTTGTAAAAAAAGTGCTCCAAGCTGAAGAAACTGAATGACAGCTATCAATAGCATGCAGAAGTCCTTTAAAAACAAACCTAATAGATGGAACTGACCAAACAGGTTTCTTTTGTTGGTATAAATACCTGTGCCAGGAATGGAAATACACATACAGCTCTGTATGTAGTCAGATTAACCTACTTACCTTCTAGACTACACTGTCTTGTCTTGTTTTCTACATTGGTTGACCAAACTCGTACGCTTAGAATGAGCATCCAGCTGCCAAAAGGCACTGATTAAACTTTGGCACTTCTATCTAAAACAACAACATAATGAAGTGTTACATTTGGTAGTCATAGTTTTGAATGTCTTACTCAACCTTGCATTACCATGTAATATCAATATATATGACTATAAATTGTTCTGTATGCATTCTTTTAAAATACATCAGAGGTCTTTTATACATATTTGATAGAGAAAAATAAATCTCTTGTTTTTAACATATACTCGTTGACTAGCTTGTTTCCCCCACATACCCTTTGTTTGGGCTCAATACCTCTTGGCTGTAGTCTTTGATAAATGCATGTCCAGACTATGCAGTACATTTAATAAAAAAACAGAAACAATCATTAATTCAACACATTATGGGAATGAGGAAGAGTAAAGGTTTTATTGAAGCACATGACGCATAATAGGGAAATTAAGCCAGTTTTGTTGGGTCCAAAATTAAACATCTGCCCCAGAGGGATTTTGTAGTCTGTACAGGGTATGTAACCGTCATTAATCCTCTAGCCTTAGACCCTTGATTTTTCGTCTGTTCACTAACCTCAGCCCTACTCCCTCTACAGTATCTAACTCCACTGAGTTATAAATAAAGTATCTGTTTTACTGCTCATCCTTTCCAATTTATGTCAGGTTTTGTTTGTTTCTGGAAGAGTTGGAAGAGCCTTTCAAATAGATATTTTGCAGGTGTTTCTTTAGTGTAACACTGGTTTGTCTCTTCTTTGTGTGTATCTAGCGGTCAGTAGATTTAAACCCAGCTCAGAGGGACCTGGTGCTGAAGGTGGCTGAGTTGCTTGTGAGTAAAGCAGAATGTGATAGCAGAGCAGAGTTTTGGGTGGAGAAAGCTGCCAAGCTGTTGCCAGGAAACCCTGCAGTCTTCAACCTAAAGGTGAGGGGCCTAAACCTCTTAAGATCTCCACTTTGCATTGCTTCAGAAAACTACTGAAGTTATCTAATTACACTTTTTAAACTTATATTCAACCAACAGCTGCTATAATTTCAGTTTTCCAAAGTATGTAATCATTGTGTTGAATTTTATTTTTCCTGCATGAGGAGTTGATTTGAATTATGTAAAAAAGAATACCATATTAACCTTCTCTCTTTGGTTAATATCTGTTGCATTATGCAGGAGCGTTTGTTGAGTCGTCAGGGTCAACCGGGTTGGAACCGATTGTTTGACCTCCTCCAGACAGAGCTGGCAGCAAGGCCGGCGGATCCTCATGTAAACGTGAAGTTGGTTCAGCTGTTCTGTCAGGATGGACGGTTGGATGAAGCCGTTAAGCATTGCCTGTCTGCTGAGAAAAAGGGCATACTGAGCAACAGTCTGGACTGGCACAATGTGGTGTTGCACACACTGCAGGTCTGCATATGCATAACAGTATATTTGACACATTTGGAGTGGTGTGCATTTTTTGAAAGCTGAAGACTGACTCGTTTATGTTCAAATTAATACAAACTAATGTTTGACCTTTGTTTCAGGAGTATCTAGCTCAGCCCAGTGTCACCAGTAATGAGAAAATGTGTCGACATCTCCAGAGAGAACTGCTGCTGGCCCACTGCAGCATGCTGAGAATCACACTGTCTGAGAGCAGTGTGCAGCCCAGCCTTGATGCCCTCAGGAGGTAGGTCATGTTGAGATGTAGACAAGTTATATATTTTCTTTCTTAGGTCTAGTTCACAAGGAGGCAGGTATTTTTTAAAAGAGAGGTTTTCCTCCTCTGTTTCAATTCTAGATGCTAACCCTTTGGTTTCTAGTTAAACAAAAAGGAGACTTAAAAACAAACCTCTGTTTTCAGATGTGTTTGAAACATTCAAGACAACTATTTGTTACAATTTGTTTCACTGAAGCATCACGATAACTTAAATGAACTGCATATTAATCGATTGTGTGTGTATGTTTGTGTTTAGTTTTGACCAAGCTATGCAGATGCTGAGCAGCACTGCTTACTGCCACACGGACGACCTTTGTGAAGTGTTTGTAGAGATGAGGGGTCACCTCTACCTGCATGCTGCCACACTGCTGCTGAAGCTGGCTCAAGATCGCCAACACACATGGAGGGCTGTCGTTGACTTGGCTGGACTATGCTACCTGTTGGCATACCAGGTACTGACACAGTAACAAATGGTATCAAATGCCATGGATGGATGGGGAAAGCATAAAACCAGTGAACTCTTTGGTTAATACTGAGTCTTGTGATGTAGAGTTGACATGTTACAAACGGGACCTATGTGATTAAAATTGTTGGTTATTCATTCAACCATGTCTTTCAAGAGAGTTTCCAATTACAAACTTTTTTTTAGGAATTTACGAAATGTTGTTTGTTTTGTTTGTATTTCCATCAGGTTCCCAGACCAAAAGCTAAAGTGACCAAAAGAGACCAGTCAGCGCCACAGCTTCTGGAGCTCCTTGCCAACGATCGTCAGAGTCAGGCGGGCCACATGTTGTTAAATCTGAGCACTGATCCAACCACCTTGATTAGAGAGGTCCGTCCCAGTGTTCTGATGCAGTTTGCGCTGCTTTTATGCCACTAGAAAACATTGTAGTTAGTTGGGATTTGTTAATCTTCAATGCGTTAAAAATGACATTACCCATTTAAAGATTGGCCACTGTCACAACCATTTCACATGCACAATTTTAGAGAAAGCATTGTTGTATGATTTTTAAGTAGCAGAAATTTGAAGAGACATAATCATGATGTTTTCAATGTGTAGGTGGTGGAGGCATTTGGGAACCGGAGTGGTCAGGACTCGCTCTTTGAACACCTGTTTGGACCACAGGCATTCCCCGGCTCGTCCTTTATTGCCAACGATGACATTCATTCCATTAACACTATGGCTCCAGAGCTCCCTCAACTGGCCAAATGGGATGCTGGTACAAAACCAATATTAAAGTAGTCTGAAAACCTGTATAGTTCTGTTATTCTGTATTTTTCATTTGTTGCTTGCTTTCAGTTTAGGCACAATGTATAGGCTTTCTTAAAACAGTTTATTGGTCTATTAAAACTAAAACATCAACTAAAATTGAGGAACATAACTGTACGTTCTAAGTCCTCCTACGTTGTTAAAATAACTAAACAAATGTTGCCATTGTTAAAGGCTCCATCCTGCTGCATGGTGGTGACTTGCAGCATCTCTGCTGGTTGGGACTACAGTGGACCCTCCTGGCCCAAAGACTTGCCCTACGGGACTGGCTACAGCAGCTCTTTCCAAGGCTTACTCTGGAAACTTCTAAACTGGACACCAACGCACCAGAATCCATCTGCCTGCTGGACTTAGAGGTAGGTGATTTCATGTGGGCTGGTGGGTCAACATAACACAAGTTGAGGCTTTGCATAACAATTCTTCACTAGTTTCTAATGTTCAAAACATCAAACAGTTTTAACAACAGGAACATGTATTTAAGGTTTTAAGTAAACAACAAAGTATAATATATAAAGCAAAATATACAATTTGAGAAGAAACAAAGATTTCCTAGTCAAAATTTGTTACGACGTCTGTCTCAAATATCCAGGTTTGTACGTACAGATGAGCTATCCTAAGGCACATGGAAGCAGTTTTAACATTACTTAAACTTAGTAGAATGTAGATATACTTGTCATGACATGTTTAATGTTGGTCTGCCTGTTTGTGTAATGCTTTTAAGTAAGTTTGAGATTTAGACTTGAGTTACAAGTGTTCATGCATATCTATCTGAAGTCTACAAATAAATGTTGGGACTTAACATGTCCCTGAAACTGTCCTTGATAGGCTAACATCACATTCATAGCAGATAGTACTAAATATTTAGTTCAAAAAGGGAAATTTGCTACTCTAAGTACAGCCAGCGTCATGTGGATGTGCATGAATGGGATTAGTTAATACAGTGGGTACTCAACGTATCATCTTCTGCCATCAGCATGTTAAAGGGGGATTGTGTTATGTAGTGTGAAAGGGCCTTGAGGAGTACTAGAGTCCATTTACTACTTTCCATTTAGTTCTTAGATCTAAAATGGAATCATTCTTCCTAAAGGTAAAACTCTGTCTTGTTTATTCCGTGCAGGTGTTTTTATATGGTGTCGTGTTCTGTAGCCACTGTCAACTTCAGGAGACGGCAAAGATCAGCAGTTCAGTGAACCAGCAGCAACAGCAGCAGCTCTTTGAGCCTCGCTGCCTTCCCCTTCCCCTTCTTCGCCTCTTGACCACTGACAGACAGAGGGAGTGGTGGGACGCCGTATACAGCCTCATTCACAAACGAGCAGCGTGAGTACAACTAGTGTTGAAACAACACATGAAGTATATTTGCCAAAAAATATGTGTTCAAATGATTATTTCAGCCAGACAGTTTCATCCACAAGTTACCGTGAACTGTATAGCCCCAATTAATCACAAATGTTATCTCAAGATAATTTACAAAAGAGCAGGTACAAAACTTACTTGTTGTTATATTATCTACAAAAGACTCAACCTTAATCCACTATGAGCACAACACTATGCAACATTTTACTTACTGAGGACAGGAAAAACGATTGACTGGTAACTTTTGTTGAAAGTACACTCTCGACATAGCTGTCTGCTGAATATCTAAACCATATTCATAATATTATTTAATATACAGGGACAGAGGACAATATGGCATTTGAGTGTGTTCTGTATTCAAGGATTTGTTCTAACATGGCTGTTGGTGACAAGTATTTGTGGCTCACTGTTTGGTCATTGTCCTGAAAATCAGGACAGTGTGAGCGTACCAGTAAGTTTTGACTTACAGGACATAATGATTAAATTACAAACTTCTGACCCTCCCTTTTATGGATAGTTTGAGTGTACCTGAGACTGAGCGCTCTGTCAGCGCAGCTGAGCAGGGATGTTGACAATCTGACAGATATTTAGCATCATATAAGGGGCTACACTCAAAAAATCCAGATCTGTGCACCCGAGGCTACTGCCTATATCACCTTTGTCTTTAGTTAGACCTGGTCCCAGTTTTGTTTTTGAGGTCGGAAATCGGATGCTCTTATATTTTCATAAATGTTTCTTTCACGTAAAAGACATTCCCTACATCTGTGAATGGCTTCCCACGCCTCGGGATTTCTTGAGCTGCCACAACACTTGAACTAGTGCAATGGAGAATGTATCCAATACTGAAAAGTACCTTTTCTCTGCTCTGTTTTCCGCAGAGGTTCAGACATCACCTTCTTTTTCTTTTCGCCGGGCAGATCCAGCATATGATGCACATTTAGGTTGACTAATGGTACAATAGAAGCCTAATAATTAAATGAAAAGGCTGCACATTTTTACAGTTAATGTAGAATAGTTTAAAATAATAATGATGCATAAAAATGAAAAGTAAACAATAGATTAACTTTTCTTTTCTGGCAAAGCTACAAGGAGCTGCATGTGGCTCCGAGCCGTGGATTGCACATCTTCAATGTAACACATGCAAAAACAACATAAACGGTTCAATGTTGACCAATGAACACTTGGCTGACTATGATTGTTTTTATGTACTACTATTTGGGGAAAATATAAACATGAAATGAGCAGTTGGTTGTGTGTGCATTTGTTGCATCTTTATTCTGTTTTACAATAATTGATATGAACAGATTGAATGATTTCAGTGTAAATGTTTTATTTATGTATTTATTTTGTTACTTCTGCTCTATGTCTCCTTGTAGTCCTGGTATGTCAGCTAAACTGAGGATGATTGTGCAACACGGACTAAGCTCTCTAAGGGCCGGAGAAAAACATGGCCTCCAACCAGCACTGGCCATCCACTGGGCTCAGTGTCTAAGCCAAACGGTATGCGCGCACACAGACACACACACACACGCTCACACGATCACACATTAATGCCACTGGCTCAGCAAGTAGCCAGCTGGACAATTTAATTAAATAGTCACTACAATGATTTTAGGCTTTCTAAGGGAAGTGATATTTTTCTGAATAATTTAAATTCTGGATTTTCTGACATGTAAAGTTTGACCACGTGAATAAAATATCCAAGCAGATGATTGTTTGGATCTCTCTCAAGCTCAATCTGCTGATTTATTAGAGGACACAGCAATCTCTGAACAAAATAAAACATAATAGAAAAATGTAGAGTAGAACTTTCTTCATGTTTTTTTATGACAAGTTACTTGCAAGTTGTATATGTCGGACTGCCACAGTCACAGATAATTAATGGCTAGTACCGGCTACTTTAGTCTTCTAATCTTACGGATGTCTTTTGTAAATTTCATAACCCAGGGTGATGGAATCAACTCGTACTACGACCAGAAGGAATACATTGGCCGCAGTGTCCACTACTGGAAAGCTGTACTTCCACTGCTGGAAAAGATCAAAAACAGACGGAGTATACCAGAACCACTTGAGCCCCTCTTCATACACTTCCCCTCTAAAGATACCCAGGTTGGACTATTTTCTTGGTTTTCTTTCAAGGTCAAAGAAACAGTGTAGTATTGTGTCTAAAGCTGTTGAGGCTTTTGGCTTTAACCTACCTCTGTTAAGCTTTTGCTTAATTTATTATCACTTAGCTATAACATTGAACACAGATTTTTGAGAATTTTCACTGTTTATTGGATCCATGTGTCATAGTTTACAGTATGATAGAACTTGGTTTGATTCACACTGCAGTTATTAGACTGGTTGATTAGACTTAAGAACTAAATTGATGAAAGATACAAGCTACACTATGTTTTCTTACACTTTTATGGTTTGATTTCAGATTTCTTCTGTGAAGGGTTATGAAGAGGAGGCCACGGTAGCATATGCAGCTCTTCTTGACATTGAAGGCAAGACAGAGGAGGCCATTGCTACCTTGGAAACCATCAGTAACATGTCATCCATCTGGCATTTGGCACAGGTAAGTCATAGGTTCTTAACCTGCATAATAGGTAGAATAGGATCCTCTTTCACAATCTAAGGTAAACAAATACAGTCTTTTCTTTATTTAATAGGTATGCACCATTTTTCAATGAGTCAAGGCAAGCTTACGTTTTCATTATGGCTGTAAATGTAACAGTACAGAGAAGGAATTATGCATCTTATAGGAGCTGGATTATTGCCTGATTGAGGGGTCAAAGAAGCCGTATGAAGCCACTTAAACACACAATATGCTTTGAAGGGTTTTATTTAATTTTCAGTGCCCTGTCAAATTTGTGGATTAAGCTTTTGAAATGCATTTTGAATGGGGGGGAATTAGTGAGTTAAGTGTAAACAGAGAAGGTAATTTTCTGTGGCCTTGACAGCAAGTAAAGAGACATTCAATGTTGCTAAGCTGCTCCGTACTCTGCTTGCCTGTATATTGCTTTCTAGTTGTTAATAATGATTTAGTATCCATATACAGTATCTCACAAAAGTGAGTACACCCCTCATATTTCTGTAAATATTGTATTATATCTTTTCATGGGACAACACTGAAGAAATTACACTTTGCTACAATGTAAAGTAGTGAGTGTACAGCTTGTATAACAGTGTAAATTTACTGTCCCCTCAAAATAACTCAACACACAGCCATTAATGTCTAAAACGCAGGCAACAAAAGTGAGTACACCCCTAAGTGAAAATGTGATATAGTGTACATGTTGACATGATCTTTCAAAGTTGCTTCTTCTCAGCAAATAAGAGAATCTTGATGTTTTTGGCAACTAGGTGGAGAAAATGTCCATATATTGACTTCACGAATGAGTCAGATATTGTGTGCAATTCCAATTTTAAGTTACATCTCTCAATATTCATGCTGAACAACCAGTATAACGGGTGCATTGGTAATATGGGTGACTGGCAACTGTATATATTTCACATTTTTCTTTCTGCGATGTTTCCTTGAAAGATTTACCAGCGACTATCAGAGGAGGCCAGCAATGGTGTTGAGGAGACACAAGATAGGTGTGTCACTTTTCTGAAAAAGTTCAGGACCTACCTGTCCAAGATCTACAATGGTAATGCAGAGGATATTGAGAAGGTAGGTCCCATTTCTTTAAGCAAGGTGACACTTTCATTATATGTAAAGCAGAACTACATTAGTGAATCTTTCTTCTATTACTCCTAAATGTTGTCAGCTTTCCAACTGTGTAACTTTGTTATATTTGAATCCCAGCTGCCTGTTTCCATGGAGGAAATTGTGGACCTCCTCAATGATGTGAACCAGCAGCTCGGGGAGAGTGGTGAGGCCATGGATGAAGAGGAGGAGAAAGAGGGGGCGGTTCAAAGAGGACCAGCACACTCCAGCCCCGCTACAGAAACCTCTGCCAGCATATCCCATATAAAGTTTTCCACTCCATCTCCTAACAAAAGCATCTCTCCTTCCAAAAGACACCTGGTAGGTTAGGTCTGAAGTTATTCAGATACTTCTATAAAATGTATCTAGTCTATCTGCATGTGAACAGTTGCATTGGATTTATCGCAGAGATATATAACACACTGAGTGACTTTACATAATTGTTTTTTCCAGATTTCTCCCAAGATACAACCGCATTGGGTGGAGGACCAGAAAAGTCTCCTCCAAATGCTTTGTCAGCAAGTTGAAGCCCTCAAGGTCAGGATAAGATATAAATAGAGATTGATGTCACACAATTCAACTATAGATCCTGAGATTAAATAATTCAAATATATTTTTGTTTGAGAATCAAAACATTCTGTTTGTATATCGCCAATTTAAAAAAAAAAGTTACATAAAGAGAAGACCTAGACCAAGCTCTTTAAGTGAGAAAATCAAGTTAATTGGGTGCCATCTATAACTTAGGTCTAATCTTTTAATCATGTTAGCACATTATGCTTAATCTATAAAATATACATATGAGAAATTCCTAGAAAGTTAACAGTTCTGATTGATGGATATCATTATCACAACTGAATAAACGGGACTTTAAGAACAATGCCTTCCTTCTCTAACAACCTCTTTCAAGCAAAGGCCAGTTTCTCAATGCAGTTGAAATTAATTCAAATCGAAGATGTAAACTTTTGGACCGTTTACACCTATTAAGATAAAACTGAATTATTATATGATTTTAACTCTGCATATTCTACTTTAAGTGGGAGGGTTTAAGAAGTCGAAAAGAGTCACTACTCATAAATCTTGTTTTATAGAATGAGGTTCACGATCTGAGACACAACTCTTCAGGAAACGTAGACTCCCCACATCACAAGCTGTATGGGGAGAGCTACGGGGCTGAGGGCCTTCAAGAGCCATTTACGCCAGTCCAGTCCTACCATGGGGCCCCTCTAACAGGTGAGCATGCTTAATAAAAACAAATTAAGTCTAGATATACGGTTTCATATTTTCATTGAGAACTATTCGGCAGAATTTTGTAATTAAAAAAAAAAAAACAACAACTATGTATTTGTATCTCAGTTGCCACCACAGGCCCCTCTGGTTTCTACAACCAGTCTCCAGCTTACAACTCCCAGTACCTCCTACGCACAGCAGCAAATGTAACCCCCACCAAGGTAATTACCAGTGTCTTGTTTACTATAAAATGGCATATTTAGAATATATTTAATTACATTTATTTATTGTTAAAATGTCTCTACACAGGCTCCAATGTACAGTATGAACCGTATGCCACCACAGCAGCATATGTATGCCTACCAGCAGCCCACTCAAACGCCTCCATTGCAAACAGCCCCAGCCTGCATTTACCCTCCTCAGGAACAGGTCTTTGGTGCCTCTCTTCGATTTGAATCTCCAGCCACAAGCCTTCTTTCCCCATATAGTGAAGAGTACTATGGCCAGAGTGTAACCCAACAAACCACTAACCCTCCGCTTCCAGAACCTGGCTACTTTACCAAGCCATCAGTAGTCCCAGTTCAGCCACCAAAGAGCATTGAAGGAAAGCCTATGGACTTTGGTAAGCTCCCCTTTGGCCAACAGGCACCGGCTGAAGTCCCAAAAGTGCCTTGTTTTGGAGGAGTGCCAGTTTCTCAGTCAACACCTTCCACTGCTTTTAAATTCAACTCAAACTTTAAATCAAACGATGGAGATTTCAGTTTCTCAGCTTCCCAGGCCAAGCATAGTGAAAGTCTGCTTGGTCTTCTTACATCAGACATTCTCCCTAAAACTGATACTGCTACTGAGAAGCCTCAAGTCGGAGAGCAGCCCCCCAACCAAACAGGCATCTTCACATTTGGAAATAAAAACATCGGTGGCTTCTCCAGTGTAGACTCTGCTCAGAGCGCAGGCACTGGAAGTCTGTTTGGAAACATGGAGCAGCCATTTACATTTGGCGATGTTAACAAGCCATTGTTTGGGGTTGCCCAGTCTACAGCAGAGGAGGAGAGAGCAGCAGAGAGTGATAATGACAGTACGCATGTGGAGGAGGATGAAGATGGTCCTCACTTTGAACCCATTGTACCTCTTCCTGATAAAGTAGATGTCAAAACGGGTGAGGAGGAGGAGGAGGAAATGTTTTGCAACAGGGCAAAGCTGTTTCGTTTTGACACAGAGACAAAAGAGTGGAAGGAGCGGGGCATTGGCAATGTTAAAATCCTGAAACACAGCATTAAAGGGAAGGTCCGTCTCTTAATGAGAAGGGAGCAGGTCCTTAAGATCTGTGCAAACCACTACATTACTTCTGATATGTTACTAAAACCGAATGCCGGCTCTGACAAATCCTGGGTCTGGAATGCCATTGATTATGCAGATGAAGAGCCTAAGCCTGAACAGCTGGCGATACGCTTCAAAACAGTAGACGAGGCATCACTTTTCAAAGCCAAGTTTGAGGAAGCCCAGACAATTTCGCTTGAATTGCCTGTAAAGCAACATCAACAAGATGAGAAAGAGGAAACACTTAAAAATCCAGTTTCTTTGGCTGCCCAGTTTGCTCTTAAAGAAGGGGAATGGGAATGCGATGTGTGCTGTGTAAGAAATAGTCCAACAGATATGCAGTGTGCTGCTTGTCAAAGTGCAAATCCCAACTCTTCATCAAAGCCAGGCATTCAGGCTGCTGGTGAATCCAAAACCAGTCCTTTTACTTTCAAATTTGGGACTGATGCATCCAAACCAAATAGTTCTAGTTCTACATTTACAGGATTCGGTGGGTTTGGAGCTTCTGTACCCTCCTCATTTACATTTGGCACCACCACCTCAAAACCCACTGACACAGTAAGCAATGCATTTGGCTCTGCCTTTGTGGCTCAGTTTGGCAAGAAACCAGAGCAGTGGCACTGTGACTCATGCTCTACAAGAAACGATGCATCTGCAGATAGTTGTGTGTCTTGTAAAGTTGCTAAAGTTTCACCTAAAACAACTACCGCAACACAAATGGCACCAGCTGCAGTACAGTCCTCTTTATCCACTGCAGTGTCTGGGTTTGGTTCCCAGTTTAGCAAGAAGCTTGGACAATGGGACTGTGATGTATGCGTAGTAAGAAATGAGGCCTCTGCTGACAAATGTGTTGCCTGTCAAAGCCCCAACCCTGCAACTAAATCAATAGAAGGGGCTTCAGTTACATTTAATCCACCAACAATTTCAGGATTCGGAGCTGATTTTGCAAAAAATGATGGCCAATGGGACTGCAACAGCTGTCTGGTCAGAAATGATGCATCAGCTACTGAGTGCATTGCCTGCCATGCTCGTCATGAAGCTCCCTCTTTAGGAGCAATGTTTGGTAAGAAGGATGGAGAATGGGATTGTGACACTTGTTTGGTGAGAAACAAAACCTCTGCCAGTAACTGTGTGTCCTGTCAGACACCAAATCCTAATGCTAAAAGCACAACCAGCATTGCTCCCTCAGCCTCCACTTTCAGCTTTAGCTTTGGAACAAAAAGCTCATCAAACCAGCCTGCTGGAACTGGGTTTACTGTGCCTTTTGAGACTGGCAACACGTTTCAGTTTGGTCAAAATAAAGATAATGGTTCAGCTGCTTCTTTTAAGTTTGAAGCGCCTCAGGCAGGATCTAGTGCTAAAAGTCCATCAGGCTTTTCGTTCTCAATGCCTACTCTAGCTGGTGGCTTTAAGTTCGGTATTCAGGAACCTGAAAAAGAAATTGCCTACACCGATAATCAAATACCTCCATCAGGATCAGCCTCCAATTTTCTAAAAAGCATAGCTGATGAACACAAGGCGAAAGAAAATTTGTCTTTGATCTCAGTGGGCCAAACAGAGCAAGAGCAAAATCCATTAGTTGCAGGAGGGGCGTTCTCGTCATTAAAACCAATCCCCGCAAAGACTGATGCCACAAATGAACTGGAGGATGATGACATGTATAAAACAGAAGAAAATGACGATATACAGTTTGAACCAGTGGTCCAGATGCCTGATAAAGTTGACCTGGTGACTGGTGAGGAAGATGAACAGGTTCTTTACTCCCAGCGTGTCAAACTGTTCAGATTTGATGTAGACACCAGTCAGTGGAAAGAGCGTGGTGTAGGAGTCCTTAAATTCCTGAAGAACAGCAGTAATGGCAGGCTAAGAGTGCTAATGAGAAGAGAGCAAGTTCTCAAGGTTTGTGCCAACCACTGGATCACCACCACCATGAATCTTAAGCCCTTAGCAGGCTCGGACAAAGCATGGATGTGGATGGCCAACGACTTCTCTGATGGAGATGCTAAACTTGAACAATTGGCTGCTAAGTTCAAAAGCCCTGAGCTTGCTGAGGAGTTTAAGGAAAAATTTGAAGAATGTCAGAGACTGCTCTTGGACATCCCCTTGCAAACCCCCCATAAGCTCATTGACACAGGCAGAACAGCACATCTCATTCAGAAAGCAGAGGAAATGAAGTCAGGATTGAAAGACCTGAAATTCTTTTTGACAGAGGAGAAAACAAAGATCAAAGATGACGACAACCAGGATGATATTACTACATCCAGCAATGTTTCAAGCCTTGTGATAAAGCCTCACGGTGAAACCACCGGCCCCACCTTGGAATGGGATAACTATGACCTTAGAGAAGAGGCTTTGGATGATACTGCTGACTCATCAGTCTATGCCTCTCCCCTCGCCAGCAGCCCCCTGAGAAAGAACCTTTTCCGCTTTGGTGAGTCCACTAGTGGGTTCAACTTCAGCTTCCAACCTGGCATTAGCCCCTCCAAGTCTCCTGCTAAGCTTAACCAGAGCAGAAACTCAGTGGGCACTGATGACGAGCAGGATTCAATCCAGGATGAGGAAAAGGATGGCCAATACTTTGAACCTGTGGTGCCATTGCCTGATCTGGTGGATATTTCTACAGGAGAAGAAAATGAACAGGTGGTCTTCAGTCACAGGGCCAAACTGTATCGCTATGATAGGACATTGGCTCAATGGAAGGAGAGGGGTATTGGAGACCTCAAGATCTTGCAGAACTATGATACCAAGGGAGTGAGGTTAATAATGAGGAGGGACCAGGTACTTAAGATCTGTGCCAATCACTGGATCACTGCAGCCATGAAACTAGAACCTATGAAAGGTGCAGAGAAGGCCTGGGTCTGGAGTGCGCGGGACTATGCTGAATCAGGAGATGGCAACATTGAGCAGTTGGCTGTGAGATTCAAGCTCCAAGAAACAGCAAACACATTCAAGCAAGTTTTTGACGAGACTAAGGTAGCACAAGAAAAAGGGGAACTAATGACTCCTGTGACATCCAGTGTTGCCTCTCCTCGAGACTGTGGATCCATAGAACCAGCAAAGCCTGCTTCAGCTATTTGTGGGAAAGCAGCTATTGCTGTTCTGGAAGAGACCACCAAGGAACGTACTGAGCTTTCTCCTGAATCTGAGCTGTGTGCAGCTGGGTCGCCAAGTCAAGTAAACCCCTCAAAGACAACAGTGGTATCCCCTCCTAAGTTTGTCTTTGGCAATGATAACCTTCAGAAGATATTTGGATCTCCTAGATTTTGCTCTGAGACTGAGGAATCTACATCCTGTGTAAAGGCAAAAGAGTCTGAACCGTCTGCCAAGGCTATAGCACCTGCATTCAAAATCCCAGAAAAAGGTAACTATTGTTTAGTTCCATTCAATTATTGTGGTGATTTATATGTTTTAATAAGCTCATGACTGACATCAGATTTTGCCATGATCTTCTTAATTGACCCTGCCCATCATCCTTCTCAAGAGAAATTGAACTAAAGAATTTCCACTCATCCTTCTGCAGCCTCCTTACATGTAGAAACTTAAATCCTAATAATATAACTCAATGTACAAGTTCACAAACGCTATATAATGATATTAGTACCTTTTTAGTTTACCTATTAATAATAAAAAGTAATTTTGCTTATGCATGCTTAATATATGTTGTCAACCCTCTGAGCTTAATCGTAAATAGTTCAGTTACACTCTTTTAATATTCCACATATTACATTTGTATCATGGTTACGATACCAGCCTCACAAGTAGTTTCTCTTCGCCCAACAACCCAATATCCTTTAGGGCTGGATTTTAGGCTTTTCAAAGATAATCCAATGGCTTTTTGGACCAGCTCATCAACCACCCAATTTGAACCCCCAGGTATTCTAATCACTGCAGTGTGTGTTAACACTTGTCAGGTGCCACGTGGCTGACCCTTACTACTAGACAGAAATAACCTGGATGCACGGAGTGTTAAAGCTAATCTTTTGCATGTCCGGTGTACAGATTTGTAGATTTTAGAATAAAAATGATCTGGTAATTACAGTAAATATTTTGTTGCGTCTATATGATGTAAGATTCAGTGTTTCACTCAAATGGTAACGAAAGATAATATCTTCAAAACATATGACCTGTGATCTGTAGTCTGTAGATCTGTTTGTTTGTTTTTCTGAGTCAGAGTCCTGGTGAGTCATTATGGGTTATCTAGTTATTAGTGCTGTCAGTCAATTAAAAAATAATCTGATTAATTAAAGGCTTTGAAATTAATGACTATGAAATGAGAAGAATTGCGTTACAGTTAGATTTACTGCATAACTCTGTTTCCACTTGGTTATATCTCACTTCCACATTTAAATTTTACTCTGTTCTTCAGGTTATTAAGAGTGAAATTAACAATTAACTTACATTTTATCCAGTTGCATCCTTCAGTTCTCACCCCTTCCTCTCCACACACACACACACACACACACACACACACACACACACACACACACTGTGGGGTAAACCAGAAGCAAAGCACGTCCTCAGAGTTACATCCAGCAACTATTATTTCTCTGCACAGCGCTGCATGCATCGTCCATTGTTCAGTTGGTCTTTCTCTCCCCCCCTCATCAATGTTTAATTAGTGACAAAAGTTGTTTTTTTTCACACGAGTTACGCATGGAGGGCGCTTCTTGTCAAAACAATGGAGAGGAATTCACTCCTGAACAGCATCAGAACTTTTTACAAGATTTTGAAACTGTGGCAGGAGTAGATTTATATAAACAGGAAAGATTGCAGATGTATTGAAAGGTTGAACATAGCTTACCTCAGCATGTCTCTGTATGTCCGGGTGTGTGTGTTTCTCTGTCAAGGCAGACAGAGACGGGAGGAGAGATGGACAGCAGACTGACTTATTAATTGATCCAGGATGGTGTTGATCTATTGGATGTAGGCTATACAATTTGTGTCATACTTTAGTTTAGAGCGCTACTCTGGATGATCAGTGATGAATGAATGATGAATACTTGTTTGTCCCTAAACAAATGCTGACTGTTAATTTAGCTTAAAAGTGTTTCTCCTGTCTACTTAAGAAAAGATTTCCAAGTAAAGTTTAGTTAGCCGTCTCTCATCTCCTGAAGTCTCGGTGTGTATCTGGATTGAAAGACTTTTTTTATAGGGGCTTAAGGTTTTTAATGTATTCATGGACATTTGTTGTTTCAGTAGTCAATGTTACCTGTGTCACATGGCTGTCAGATATACACCAGTTACAAAGCTGCCATACTTTCCTCTCGTTTTGCTTCTTTTCTCGCAATTAAAGTGTGTTCGGCACTCTGATTAGTCAAATAAGAAACCTCTTAATTTAATACTCCGCATTTTTGAATATTTAGCCTGCAACTGTTCACGATGAAGAGCAGAAGCAGATTGGAAGTAGATTTTACTTGTGTCGTGCTCATGCACACATTTTTATGCCTGACAATATTTGCATCTCGTATATTTAAGTTGAAATTCTTTAAAAAAAAAGAACGTAACCACTTGGAAGATCTCTAATCACATAGGCTTATGTCAAAAAGATTGCCAAAAAAGATTGAATGTATGCATGTCAACTTAGCACAGTAGAAACATTGTTGACATGAGCTTGTAAAGAAGCCACAGCTTAACAGTTAAAACAAATAGTACAAGTAAGTTTACTGACTCTTATGAGCCTCATTGACGAAAGTATTTCTTTCATACTGCCTGCTGTGATGGGTAACTACAGCTCGCCATGAATTTTTTAATTGGTGGAAAAAAAATGTCCTTACTGCAACGTCCCTGTTACGCAGTTGAAGAATGGAATGTGGGTATTTAATAACTGTAGGTAAAATTGGTGCTGCTTAAGGACCAGTCGGTATTTAATTGAATCAAAACCAGAGTTTTGTTTAGCACATGCACGTAGGTCTCCTGAAAGGTGAGCTGAGAAGATTCCACAGACAACATTCCTTCTGAGAAGAATGTGCTGTGCAAAGATGATCCTTGCCATTTTTAGTAGGGGATGAGTAGCAACAACATGAAATGCAATCCACCATCAGTGTGGCCCCTGCAAGGGAAATGCACCTCAGCATGGGGCTTATTTCAGTAACAAACCAGATATTTGTGCTGCTTAATGCAACCATACTAAGTATTCAAGTGGTAAATTCTGTCAAATGAAACAAAAGACAAGACATCCAAAACAGACATATTCTTTTAACACAACTTGTCCCACAAACTTGTAAACCCACGCATGCTTTTCATTTCGCTGTGCATGAGTTTTTGTTTGTGTGTGTGGAACTAACACTTGCTGTAATAGAAGAAATGAAGCAGTTTAATTCCTGCTATTCTTCTGATCCCTACCTTCTTACCCTGACTGTATGTTTTTACTATATCATCTGTCTGTCACAGGAGCACCTCGGGCAGAAGGAGGCAGTGCAGGGTCAGATGAGGACTCAGAGGTGGAGGTTGTGTTTGTCAGGGAACCTACAGCTGAACAGGCTGCTTTAGCAAGAAAGCTCTTGCTGCCTCTTACCTTCTTCTGCTACCAGAATGAACCGGGCTACATAAGTGACGATCAAAGTGATGGTAAGACCAAAGATTAGATGCAAACATTTTTTGTTGCGTAAGAATCAAAAGGTAATTTAAATAAAATATGTTTTTTTTTCTCATTTTTCAGATGAGGACTATGAGTCAGCTGTAAAAGCCTTAAATGGAAAGCTGTACCCTGACCCTCCTGAGAAAAAGGCTGCAGCATGTGGTGACGGTATGTGTCTTGTATTCTGTCACACACAACGTTTTTTTTATCCCATTATAGGCCATGATTTTGTCAGTTGCCATGTTGGCTAATAACTTCTCAGAGAAAAGTAGGCTGTATGGATAGATGTTCTTTTCCATACATACAATATAAGTTCCACTAAATGGTGAAAAGTATGCAGAGAAAAGTCAAATGCTTCAACCTTCATGTTCCATTCAGAGCAAGACTGCCAGGTGGTGTGGGAGAAGAAGCCGACGCCAGAAGAGGAGGAGAAGGCGAAAAGCCTCCAGCTGCCACCCACCTTCTTCTGCGGCCTGAGCACCACTGACAGTGACCCGGACCCCGACAAACCTGAAGACTTTGAGACAGAGGTCCGCAAGGCACAGCAAGACTTGGTAATGGACTCAACATTAACTGAAACCAAATATAATTCAAATCACATAGTGTACAGATAATAATGATTTATAACAGAGTACATATGGACAGCTGCTCCGTGTTTACTGAAACATGCAACTGGCTCCATCAATTTGATTGCCAGTATTTTAGTAATGCAAGCCTTCTTAACTGCACCCATTTTTAGTGATGGACAAGTAAGCTGCATGAATAGTAACATTTCCTAAATGATGAACATTATGAACTTCCTTAAGTGGGATACTTGCATTCTTGTTTGGACAGCGCATTATCATATATCTTACCATGAGTGCTAAATATTTTACTTTGGTCTATATGGCTAAACTGAGTTGGTTGCAGTTTTTAATTTCCTTTTTTAATATAGCATCAATAGCATTTAAGTTTAACTGCTAAATTGTTTCAGGACGCTCAGTTAAACCAAACTGAAAAGACCCCGATCAGCGCTTCAGTTGCCCAAGAAGAGCCAAGTGCAGGTCCTTCTTCCAGCAGCACAGAAGCTGAAGGCACCACGTCTAGACCAAAAGAACAGACGTCAGACCAGCCAACAGAGACTCAGAATGATGCTCCCAGCAGCAGCTCTCCCATTGACCTGTCGACTAAAAAGAGCCCAGAGCCGGACTCCAACAGTGAGACCGCAGCTGTAGCTTTGACCGCTCCAACAGCTAGTCAAGGTACTGTGCAGTGCAGTGGTGTTAATAACGGAGCCCTTCCCACAGGCTGGGTTTGATGGTGAAACAGATACTTCTTTTATATTTACCTATGTTACCTCTGAGCTTCTCTAAGTTGAAGAAGTTGTGCTGTATCACAGCATTCGTTGTTGAAAATGCTTTTTAAAAGCATGTTTGGTTTAGGTCAAGCTTCTTTTACCTTTAGTTCTATGAACATGTAATGCTGTACTAGTTGTCTTCTTCGGCCTCTTAAATGGTTTTAAATACTGTTTATGGCTCAAAAAGGTAATATAGTACTTATTTATGTATTTTAAGAAAAGCTTAGAGGTAAGTTTAAAAAAAAATGTATGCACACTTCTTGAGCAGAACGTATATATTGCTACTCTCCCAGCCCATTGATCATCTCACTTTACCCCTTCAGGGGTAAGGCTTCGGGCACCTCTTGACTATTCATCCTAATAGTGTTAATTATATAAAGAAGTTCAAACTAGCACAAACATTACCAGTTAACCCAGCTAAGTATCATCTTCAGCTAAGAGTTTGGATTTAGTGTTAATTATTTTGTCCAACCTCACCTCTGTCTCAAGATTTTAGGCAGGAATCTAGCAAAGTTTATTTCATTCAGTCTTTATTATTTAATGACCGTCTTTCCCTCCACAGATTCCTCAAACTTTGGCTTTAACTCTCTTGGAGGCTTCTCGTTTGCTGAATTGGCTCAAAACACAGATGGATTTGCATTTGGAACAAAAGGTTGGTATTTAATTTAAAGTAAAGATGAAATCAGCTAAATAGATATCCTCCCCCTCATTAATTGTTTTCTTTTAAAAGGAGACACTGACTTCTCATGGGAAAACGCTGGGGCTACAGTATTCCGTTCTGCGGTGCCAAAAGCCCCAAAAAACAATGGAGATGAGGATGGAAGTGATGAGGAGGAGGCTCCAAATGAAGTGGACATTCACTTTGAGCCAATAGTATCACTACCAGAGGTACCTCTAAATTCTGATTTCCAATGCTCTTTGTCTGTCCTGCTGTTTAATAGGCCTGAAGCTTCATGCAACACGTGCATTATTTATTTAATGCACAGCAACTCATCCCTGCCTAACTCCTCTACCTCTCAGGTGGAGACAAAGTCTGGAGAGGAGGACGAGGAAATCCTGTTTAAGGAGCGCACCAAGCTGTACCGGTGGGACCGAGACCTAGGTCAGTGGAAGGAGCGAGGGGTCGGTGACATCAAGATTCTCTTCCATCCTGATAAACGTTTCTACCGTATCCTGATGAGAAGAGAGCAGGTGTTCAGAGTTTGTGCCAACCACACTATTACACAGGTGATGGAACTTAAACCCATGAACGCCTCAGCCAACGCACTGATCTGGATTGCCACCGACTACTCAGGTTCGTTCATAGTGTTTTTATGTCTTCATGTCTTTTATGTCTTCTGCGACTTGTCTGTTTTTAGCTTTTGCAAATGCATCTTGTGGTAACTGCACTTCCCATCTATAGAGAAAGTTGTTAGAGGTACACTGGCCCACATTTAGCTGTTAGTTTTTAAATCACATCATTTTTTGATTGAGCATTTTGATGATTTTATCTAGAAAACCATCAATTATAATAAAGATATAAAGATCAATTCTTAAATAGATTACTTTGTGTTCGGGCTGCTCGAGAATAAAGCAAAAAATCATACTTATGATATTTTGATTGATATTGAGATCACTGTTATAAAACTGAATGAAAATAAATAAGTGAAAAAAATATAAATATACATGTCATCTTCTTAAGTTCTTCTGCTTTTTCAAACTAACCAGAGTGCATGCCATGGCTCCCCAGCAAGAGCTGTTTTAGTGGGAGGGGCAGAGCACACACTGTGTTGTAGAGGAAGGGAGGGAGAGCTCCATTTACCACACGTGACAAAACCTTAAGACAAAATGAGTGTAACAGTTATTGTTTGATCTCGATTATCTTGTTTTCATGATTGTGGGAAGCCAAAATGGTAATTGGAACTCCATTAATCGCCCAGCACTGCTTTATGCAAATATCAATATGCTTTTCAGCTGTTCTTTTGCTGATGTCTTCTTTTCTTTTGCTTGGATTATCTAGATGGCGATGGAGTTGTGGAGCAGTTGGCAGCCAAGTTCAAAACCCCTGAGATAACCCAATCCTTCAAGAAGACCTTCTGCGAGTGTCAGAGTCGCATAGGCAGTGCTGATGGTGATGCTCATGTATCTCCTCACCTCAGATGTCCAGAATTCAAGAGCACTCCAGAGACACTAACCCACAGGTTTTCCTCAAAGTGGAAGCTGATGGCCAACCACTTGGCACAATCAACATAGAGCTCTTTTCCCATATTGTCCCCAAGACGGCTGAAAACTTCAGGGCTCTCTGCACTGGCGAGAAAGGGTTTGGCCTTCGGGCTTCCATCTTCCATAGAGTCATACCAGACTTCATGTGTCAGGTAAGTCAGGCATTCAAGTTTTTGAAAGTCATTATTAGTGCCATTTGGTAAACTATTATTGAAATGATTCCCTCAAGCACTCCATACTCGCTGTGTCTCTGACAAGGAAGAATGTTTTATTTTCCGGCGCAAATCTCCATGTTAACATTTCTAACGAGTTACCTATATGTCTCTAAGGGCGGTGACATCACAAACAGTGATGGCACAGGAGGCAAGTCCATCTACGGCAGCAAGTTTGAAGATGAAAACTTTGATGTCCGGCACACAGGCCCAGGCGTTCTGTCAATGGCTAATCGTGGACGCGACACCAACAACTCCCAGTTCTTCATCACACTGAAGAAAGCCGAACACCTGGACTTCAAACATGTGGCTTTCGGTTGGGTTTGTGAAGGAATGGATGTGTTGCAACGGATGGGAGAGCTGGGCACAAAAGGAGGCCCCCCCTCAAAGAAGCTTGTCATCACAGACTGTGGACAGCTGTAGCCTGTCACATGTTTAGCTCAAGATTTACAGTTTTGTTTAGGTGATAAAATTATGTAATGATGTGACTCCTGTGCAGTACTTAACCACCTGCTGCAACTAAACAACTAGTGAATAGACAATTGAGAATAAAACCCAGGACACGGGTCTAGTGATCAAAATGATACATCATAAAAGTGTCGTTCCATTAGCATGGAGTAAGAAACTATTTTTGCTATCCCATAACCTAGTCATAAAAGAGAAACATGGCACAGTATGTGTGAGGAGGTCAATGTACTTTTGCTGTGTTGCACTTGCATCTTTATCATCTGTCAATAAATTGTCATGATATGTTTATTTTGTGTATAGATGTACATTGACTTTTTAAAATGTTGTTCTTTTGTCTTACATGTGTTCAATTTAAATGTGCCGGTTCTCTTTTGTTTTTTTTTCCTAAAAAGTCTTGTCTATAATTTCAAGGTGACACTGTTATTTGAATGCACCTAGATTTGTACCCATGGCCTTGCCTTCTCCCCGAGTACTGCTTCAGTCCTTTTTATTGTTCCCTTGTGATTTTCCTTTGTGTAAGTGGATTTCACGATGGCCCTACTCAGATTGCCGTTTTAAGGCACTTTTGTAGAAACGCAGTATGCAAAGTGCTAATGTGCTTACCTCCCCATATTCTGGAGTTATGTCACTGTGTTGCACGGAGGGAAGGTGGGTGTAAATTATCTATATCTGGTGCTTGTACCAAAATAATTTGACAAAATAAAGTACAAATAAAGTTGCTTTACAGGTAATGAATGGTGATTTAAAAGGTTTTTCTTTAAATCTCTTCTTTAGCTTGTATACATTTCAATGAACAACCACATATCTTGGATATAAAATGTCATTCTCTTTCTCAAAGGTATAAGAAAATGTAGATATTTTCTAATAATATGGGCAGAAGATGCCATTCTTGCGTTATAAAAGACCACCATCGCAGGTGAAATAAAAACATTGTGAAGTAACACTGGCACATTTTATGAAGTGACCCGGCTTTTAAACGAGTATGTACTGATTCCCCACTCCTCTCATTTCCAAAAGAGCCTACTCACTGAAGGATACACTCCCAATACCCACCGTCTGGCTTCCACAGGTGGGGCCACTGCACTCACTGCTCCAACTCATCTGACACTAAACACTTCTGTCACCCACGCACTAGCAAAATATGTATCATCAACTCTTTCATAAACTGCAGTAGCTACTGTGTTTACCTACTAAAATGCCTGTGTGGGATAGTCTGAGGATCAGACCAAACGCCCCACACATATCATTGAACATAAAGCAGCCATTTGCAACCTCAGCATGGACTATGCAATAACAATACACTACATACAAGCAAACCATTGTTCTGCTGCATCACACTGGGGCATTGAAAAAATCTCTCCCAGAGAGGGAGACATTGTTAATATACTACTGAATCATTTACACACTCAACATGAGCCTCATGTTTTTTTGTTGTGTTGTTCGAGTCAGTTGTTCTCTTTGTCATTTCAACCATACACAACGTACACAGTGAGATGAAATGTTGATTTTCTAGGACCGTGATGCTACGGAAGACAATTGAGGATTAAAAAATTAAGAAATAAGAATTAAGAGGAAGGAATAAGCGATTCAATTCAGTGAAAAGAAGGTGGTTATAGATAGTTAAATTATTAAACAAAGCTAAGTGGATTGAAAAACAAACCGGTAACAACATTTTAAAGTGACTAAAATAGCTTAAGTGGCAACGTTAAAGTGACATTTAAATGGGAGATGTCATTTTTTTAAACACAGACCATCATCAACTGATGTAGTCTACATATGTACCGGTACTTATGAAGTGCAGCCAGTAAATGTATGTAGTACATGCATTATACATGATGGCTGACGGCTTGGGGGAAGAAGCTATTACTCAATCTAGTAATGGAGGCTTGGATGCTTTGGTAGCTTTTTCCAGAAGGCAAGAGAGTGAAGAGTTTGTGGGTGGGGTCAGCAACAATCCTGTTGGCTCTGCTGAGACAATGTGATTGGTAAATGTCCTATGATCTTTTTAGCAGTTCTAACTATCCTTTGTAAGGTCTTGCGATCTGAGGTGGTGAAGTTTCCAAACCGGGAAGTGATAAAGCTGCTCAGGATGCTCTCTACATACCCTCTGAAAAATGTGTTGAGGATGTGGGGTGTACCTTCTTTAGCCTACGAAGGAAGCATAGGCGCTGCTGGGCCTTTGTGATGATGGTGCTGGTATTGAGCACAGACTGTAAATATTAAGGTGTTGAGCAACCAGGTGAGGTCGTCTGCAAGGTGGACACCTAGGAATGTGATACTCCTCACAATCTCCACGTAGCACCCATCGATGTTCATTTTGGAGTGGTCTCCTTTGTTTCCTCCTGATGTCAACAAACATCATCTTTTTCCCCATTCAGAGATAGTTTGCTGAGTTTGCAGTAGGTTGCACCTACTATTTGACCCCTTTTCTGTATGCTGAATCTTTGTTCTTACTGATGAGACTCACCAGGGTTGTGTCATCAGCGAACTTTATAATGTGGTTTGTGCTGTGGAGTGCAGCACAGTTGTGAGTCAGCAGGGTGAAGAGTAACGGGCTGAGCACACAGCCCTGAGGGGCACCGGTGTTCAGACTGGTTGTGGTTTATTTTGTCTTCGGTTTTGTTTCTATGTAAGAATAATTGACGTCTTCTAAACAATGTACATATTGCAAATATTATCACACTTGGGCTGTGATGTTATATAAGTGGGTTACACATGAGTGCTTTCACAATTCAGGTTAAATCCCTGCTTACCTCACACTTTCATCAACCAATGAGTGATGACTGTATCTGTACTGTTTGAATTGGAGAAAGATGAAGTGCGTTGAAACGTCAGTTTTTTGCACCAAAATAATTTGCCTAATCAATCAATCAGTATTTGAATAGGGCCAATTCTTGACAAATGTTATCTCAAATGTAATCAAAGAACCTACTAACTTAAATAATTTGTGTGCCCCAGTAGCCTACATACTTTGGATTCTGCCATTGAATTATAATCCAAGGTCCTTCTCTGAGAGCAGAGACCTCCATTCGCCGAGATTTTTCTTCTACTTTATTGTCTAATATTGACAGAAGTTTGAATAAAGCTATATTCTCACACAGAATAGGACACATTTGACTCATCCTGCTAACTGCAGACGAAAACATTTAAAATTGGCGACTGTACACTGTCAGAGGTTTAGCAATGAAGCTACGTATGATTTTACTGAACATTATCCACTTAGTATAGGTAGGGTTAATACAAATAGCCTATAGATAAACTGATAATATGAGGCATACATCTACTGTGGACGAAAAGAGCTATTCCTTGCCCTGTTTTCATACATGTAAAATGAGACTTGCATGGTTTTCTAATTATGGAAAAAGATTTCTAGAACATCTGGGGAATTTGGTTAGAATACAAAATAACCAGAGCACCAAAGTTATTTCTCCTCTGGGACTGTTGTGCCACATTTAAGTCAACTTTCTTTGACAGTATTGAAAACTGGCTTGATAACGTATTATTAATTCCAAGGTGTCGCTAAACCTCGAACCTCTTCACTGAACGTGTGTTAGGAACAAATTATAGCAATAGTTTCTTGTGAAAGATCATCTGAAAAGTGGACTGGAAATGATGTTTCACTGGAATCTGGAGAAAGATTTCAAATTATCTTTGCTCAGTGTAACCAACATACATTTATGTATTGAGTAACATGCTCGTTTTCTTTGGTACTCCAGAGTGAAGTCTGATGCTTCTGCACTCTTCTGTCATTTTCAGTGCAGTGTTAAACTTTGTTTTTCTGTGTTGTTCCTACATTTAGGCTGCTGAAAGAAAAGAGCAGATAGCCTAAGCTTCTTATTCCACTTCCTAATCTCCAAAAGCTCCAAAAAGCTTCATTTGCATGTTAAAATTGATATTTTGTTTGCCTATACTGTTGATATATATGCATGCAATATCTATAAGTCAACTGTAGGTCACCTTTTCAGACATTCACATGTTAAAAGAAGCCACAACGTCCAGGACCTCAAGCTTTCAAAAACATAAACTTGTCGTTTTATTTATTGGATAAAAAACATAATTTACAATTGCAGGGGCCTCTCTGTAACTTGTTTTATAGGCTACATCGAGAATTTAAGGTAAATAACCCTTAAGTTATTTACCTTTCAATTGTTCATGTTTAAAACTAGGCCTACAAATCAGCGTTTCCTCTTAATACATTTAATACAAATGTGTTAGTCTTTCTTAATCAACAGTAGGCTACTTTGGTGGCAGCTTTGGTTTCCTCGTCAGGAGGTGCTCTGGAGAAAAATTTCCTTTTTGTTGAGTTTTAAGTCTGAGGAAAGGCATGTGCTGAAAAAATCAATCAATCAATCAATCAATCAATCAATCAATAAATCCTTCAAACGGGAGCTTCTTTGTGTGCAGATCTTATTTGCTTCTCTTTACCTGTTTTTGGTCGGGGGTTGGGCTGAAACAGAATAGATCCCATGGGGTAAAAAAACTAGGCATACGTGTTGGTGGAAAATTGCCCGGGATAAATAAAAAGACAACATTTTGAGATTTCCAATGTTTTAGTGCAGGGGTGGGCAACTGGCGGCCCGGGGGCGACATGCGGCCCCCATCATCCCTCAACGTGGCCCTCAAAACTAGCCAATTTTTACACATCATTAATTGGAATCATGACGAAAACATGACAAAATGTGCCAGGAAATCATGAAAAAGAAACATGTCCATTATAATAACTGATCACTGGTATATGTTGACTTAAGTTTGAGACATAATTGACTGTAATCGTTTTTGTATACTACAATTTGGCCCCCTGGCAGTGAGAATTAAATTAATGTGGCCCTTGCTGTCACCAAAGTTGACCATCCCTGTTTTAGTGGATCAAATGGGATAAGAGGGGGCCTCAATTGATGGAAATGGAGACACACACACACACACGCACACACACACACACACACACACACACCATGGAGCGCATTTGGTGGTTGGGTGGGTTACAAATGTTGCATTTAGAATCTAAAATACATTGAATACTGCGTTAATACAAATAAGATGCAACACTGGTTTTCGGCCACAGTGTCAGAAAGTGGCAGCAAAGCTAAAAAAAAAAAAAAAAAAAGTTGGCGCGTCATCGAGCCCGCGGTGACGTAAGCAGGATGTAAATACAGTGCCTCGCGGCCTGGCTCGGTCTTTTTCTCCCCTGTGCTGTAAGGGCGGCAAGCACTCCCTCTGTCTCCGTGAGATTTAACACCAAAACGGCAAAATGATCATCTACAAGTGTATCATCTCCGGTAAGTAGACGGTTTTTCCGTGTGAGTAATAATATCTTTACAGTGGCGTTGGTTATTTTGGCTTTGTTAATGATATAAAATAGACTTTGTCCGGCTAGAAAAACTAGCTGACTCGTGTATCCGGCAGTCGGATGCTAACGCTAATCAAATGCTAACCAAAAAGCGAAAATGGTCCCCAGTTTAGTTAAAGCCACCATGTTAGTTAGCCGATGTTGCTAAGGCCGGTAAGCTCAACATTATGACCATCAACTAGCTTTAAGGTTGTTACAAGTGTAACATTAGAGTTGATTATTTAGTAGGGGGAAGTGTTCCGGGACAGTGGCTCAGTGTTTAAATGTTTAAATGTTAGAGATGTGGTACAGACACGGTGTACGTGGCCTCGTTGGATCATGTAGCCTTTAGCTGCCGTCGTATTTATAGGATGGACTTTTCTAGAAACCTCTATATGATTCAGGCTGTCTCAACTATAACACTAGTTCAGCTTGTGATTTACTTTTATGACGCTGTTTCCATTTTCAGATGATGAGATGTTTTCAGACATCTACAAAATCTCTACGTCTGAACACGGACTCTTCTACGAAGTTGAAGGAAAGGTAAGTCAATATTAGTGCAACACTCAGGATGTTTTTTTTTTTTTATCTCAATCATGGTAGAGCCTAGTTAAACAAAATGAAAAAGATGAAGTTAATTCATCATGTTCCTTTTCATCCTCCCCCTCCCCCCATAGCTGAAGCTTGGGGCTCGGTTGTTCAGCTGCAATATAATCAATATGAACGATTGAGTCTAATAAATAGTTCTGCTACTCAAGTGTCGATCTGAGACAAATGGGGGATCACTGTCTTCATGCACATAGCTCTATGAGATCATCACAGCCACACCTGTGTGAGTTTCCCTGCTTCGTGGGAAGTTAGGAACGCAGCCTCTGATTAGTCACTCAGGCCAGTGCATCATGGGGCGGTGAAGTGAATGGCTTTTGGCCCTTTAAATAACTTTATAGTACGTTTGAGATATGTGTCAGACCCATTTGAAGCTGTCTGTGAACTTTGTGTACTATCATGCTTTGTTTGTTTTATTTTGCCAGTGTTGCCCTAATATTCTTCTTCCTACTTCCAGACCATCACCAGGACGGAACAATTCGATGACGCTTTAATTGGAGCTAACGCCTCTAGTGAGGAGATATGTGAGACAGCTGATGCATCGTCCAACTCCGGCTGTGACATTGTTCTCAACCACAACCTTAAGGAGACTGGCTTTAACAAGAAGTCCTACATGGCTTACCTGAAGGACTACTGCAAGAAGTGAGTATCAGTGCTGCAGGTAACCGAATACATGGCTGGAACGCCACTGTGCTACATGGAACTAACGCGTATCTGTTTGCATGTTCAGTATTAAGAAGAAGCTGGAAGAGACCAACCCTGATAGAGTGGAGGGATTCCAGGAGGCCTGCAAATTAGAAGTGAAAGCTATTATGGAATCCTTGAAAGACTTCCAGGTAGCTATATGGAGCAGAGTCCCACACGGACGATAACCTTGTGAGAACTTGTCTTAGTGGAGTTGTTTCTCTAACTCAGCTTCTATTAACCTGTTTCTTGCTTCTAGCTCTTTAGTTCTATAGTGACAACACAAACCTTTTAACATACTTACTCTAACTACAATCAGTCTTGTGCCCTTTAATAATTACAGGGATTGAAGTTCTCCGTCGCTACGGCGAATTTCCGTCAATTTCACAATTGTAATATAATATTTTTAGTCGGTGTCAATCAGACAAAAAAAAAAGTGGAGCAGAATGAGTTAGTGACAGACCTTCATGTGCAAACTGCTCTCTTTAATGTCAGGCATTTATCTGAATCCTGAAGCGTAAGTGTAGTTTGCGTTTGTGAGGCATTTCAATGTACAGTCAGAATGTTGATCTGCTACGTGAAGGCCGCTCGGCGTATAGGAGGCTTTTATTGTGGTAGTGAACGTCAGCGTGCACTGCCCGTCATGTCCGGACTTGTTTTGCTTCGGTGCACAACTTCATTTACCCGACCAAAGCGAAATACCGGAGACTGACACACACACACGTTAAGACAACAGCTGATACAACCATAATATTTACAGTCTATGGATGAAACATATTACCCACACAGAGCAACGCGACACGACTCGCCTTTTAAACTGCACCGTTTGACAACACAAGTTATATTGGCTTAAAAAGCTATCACTAGTTTTACGACTTGAGTGGGTTGAAGTTATAAAGTAGGCTACAAGACTTAAGTTCTGTACACGTTTTAAAAAAGCTTCTTAATCCACTGAATTAATAGAACATTTTAAGTTTGTTTGCTAGTTACTTCTCAGATTCCGATTTATAATGCAAAATAGGATGAATACATCATTGTCAAAATAACTTTATTATATGCCCTGTGAATTCACAAGGTATCCACCTATATATCCTATGTAAATAAACACATAAGAACAATTTATATTACTCAAGTAGGATTAGCTAACACACATTAATGCATCAAGAAATGTATTATATAATAATCTGTAAAAGAGACATTTTTCCAAAGTTCAGTTTGATGCTTCTTTACTTTAACTTCTGTGACTTGTTTGAGGTTATTTCTATGTTGTTACTTAAGGCTGCTAAAGTTCAAGAAACAGAGTCAGCTTCTTATTCAACTGTCCAGTTCAGTATCAAAACGAGGTCCCCACTTCTCATGATCCAATCTCAAAATGCTCCAAAAAGCTCCATTTGAATGTTAGAAAGGCCAATTTTTTTCTTCTGGTGGGGAATCCCCAATTCATGGTCTGTTGTCTTTTGATCAGAATCCTTGTAAACTTGCCACCCATGACTTAAACCACAGATTTTGATGTTCGGGCTTCCTCTCCCTACAGTTTTTCACAGGAGAGAACATGAACCCTGATGGCATGGTGGGTCTGTTGAACTACCGTGAGGATGGCATCACACCATACATGCTTTTCTTCAAAGATGGCCTGTTGGCAGAGAAATGTGTAAGTACTTCTCTGAAGCTCCATGAAGTCAACTGTCATGAAGCTGAACGACTTCCTTTTTTTTAAAGTCGCTGTTTCACAATATAAAACGATATTAGAATGCTTATATAGTGGGAACACTGGTGTGAATATAAATGATGGCTGATTTGCATTTTGCCACTTGAGTTTCTTTTCACATGCATTCTGGCTAACTCATTATAAACTGTGATTTCCTGTTACCTGTTTGAAATTGCCATTGTAGATTAAACCAAATAAATGTTTGGTTAAAGACATATTTTGATCACCCTGCACGATGTAGCATCTGACGAGGGTTTTAGTCATCTGTGTAGCTCCCACTTTAGAAATGTATGAAGGATTAAGAAGTTTGAACACAAAACCAATGATACACGTAGCAATATTGCACTTAACATTTAGTACTGTCATAAAATTGTTAAGAGATGGGTAAGACATGTATTACAAGCAGGAAATCTTCTCTACTGTTTTTACATTTGCACATCTTGTATAGTAACATGTATGCCTGTGCCTTCTTTTCTTTTTTTGCAGTAACTACCGGGAACTTGATATGCTTTTAAATCGGCTTCTGCTTTCCAAATGGCCCCAAGAAAAGATTGACGGAGCACTATTTTGCATCATGCCTGAACAGAAACATTCTTGTAAAGTTTCTTTAAGAATTCACATTATGGCCCACAGCACCACTACCAACGTAGGGGAATTCAAACATGATTGGTCACCAATTGCAGTTTTTAACTTTTCCCTCTGTGGCTTCTGCAGTGTTTGATTTTTTGGCAAAATTAGCCAAGTTTTTGAAGGAAAATAAAAAGGACTTAAGCTCTGACATGGTTTTACTTTTTTCTTCTTTCTGCAAACAGCTTGAACAATAAACTCCACAGGTTGACCTCAGACCTCTTGTTGTTGTGATGGTTGCTCTGAAAATGAAACACTGAAATTAAAAAATAAACCTGACACAGCCACTTTGATTTGCTGTGTAAGTGTTGAGCAAGCATTTATTTGTCATAGGATTGTTTATAGCTACATCAATGAGCTCTTTGGTTTTAAATTACTTTGGTGTATTACTTGATGGGTCCAGAGTCTTCATATACGAAATTTTCTCTATGCTAGTTTATGAAACATGTAACCATGGTGATGTAGGGCACAATGCTGTCATTGAATACTAATTTGTCCTAACTAGTCAGCCACTTGAATGCATAAATTACACTGACAGCCTTTTTATTTTATTTCATGCAAAGTTTGCTCAAGTTAGTTTAAACTTTTCAGTTTGATAAATCAAATTGATAAATATATGCACAGAAATAAACATTCAGTTAAAAATATGAACGCAAATTGCTCTGATAGGAAAACATGAACTCAAGGATACTATAAAGAAAATGGTAAAGTCCTGCAATCCATGTGAAGTTTGAGATGGTGTTACTCAGTGAAGGACAAATATTGATTACCGGTACAATATGTATGTGTATAGAGCTTTTACACCGTACACCAAACCATTCACACAGTCTGCAGCGGCTGCTATGTAAAGTGGCCATTATTATTAACTAATCACGTCCATACGTCACTGACGAAGCAGCAGGAGCAACTTGGGGTCAAGTGTCTTTCCCATGGACACACTGGACATGTGGCTGCAGGAGCTGGGGATCGTACCACTGACCTCCACCACTGATCCACAGCCGCACAGGAACCTAAACAAATTTGGTGGAGTACATCCAAGAGCATACAAAGCCATAGAGGGATTGGTTTTAAATGGATGTGCATTTCAAAATAGCTTTGTGACAAAACAAGATTTCCACAATTAAGTCCTCTGACTTTTAGTGCTTTGAGAATTTTTTTTTTTAAAGTGACCAAAGAAAAGACCAAAACCCTCAGTAACTTCAACAATCTCTTCATTACTATGAAGGTTTTGTCTTACCACTGTAACTTTAGCTCAATGTTGCTGAAGTGCTACGCTCATGATGCATTAAGCTGGATCTTTGTAACACAATGATTAAGGTCGTTTACCTGCTTTTTGTAAAGTGTCTCGAGATGACACTTTTCTTGTGAGTTGACGCTATACAAATAAAGATTGATTGATCACTAAAATCAGCACATTAACTATAAAAATGGACTTGGACTTACTCAGCAGTGATCTAGTCCTCTGACCACTCAAAGTGCGTTTACACTACATGTCACATTCACACACTGTTGGCAGAGCATGTTAGGTGAAGTGCCCATCAGTGTTAATTTATCACATTTGCATGTTAATCCTACCATGAGAATAATTTAGGGTTCAGTGCCTTGCCCAAGAACACTTCGGCTATGTTCACACTGCAGACAAAAGTGACCTGAATCAGATATTTGTCCTCGTGTGACTCAGATCTTCTTTTTTTTCTTCAAACAGCACAACTCTCATGGACTCTGATCTTGTGCTTCTTTCATTTGTGGATTATCTGATACAGGCCACACTTAAAGCATTGTACACAGCCAAATGTGGCTTCTTCAACTATTGTAAACATGGTTCATGATTTCCAAAGTTTCTATATAACACATTTTCTAAATTGTGTTATATTAAGTAATGAGAAGTTGGAAACTTAAATGCTTTAATACAACTTTGACATCCAAATCCAGAAGTCCAAAACTGGGATGTGCAAATAAATAAAGACCGAACATCATAGATTGAACTAAATAATTGAAACATGAGAAGGAGATGCTTTTAAGCGCTTGTTACAGTCCTATTTTCCGTCCAAACTATGCATAACAATTGAGTGTACAGACACACAGCTGCTCTTCAGATGGTTAAGAGAGAGAAACAGAAAACATTTGAACTATTTAGCTTGTAAATCTTTGACTGCCTTTATTTAACCTGGCCATTCACTCAACAACTAACAGTAAACTAATGCAGAGTATTTTATTCCACCTCTTAATGAAAGAAAAAAATTATGAACCAACAAAATCAAATAATAGCAAGGATTAGTGACAAATAGTTTTCCTTTTTGACATCAACATTTAGGAAGTCACTGAAAAAATAATTACACTTCTACCTAATCTGAACCTGCTGGACGCTCACGTTTCAACATGAAAATCACAGCAAAGAACTCCAGTATGATGAGATGAGACCGGACTTGAAAGGACTTGCAGGAACTTGTTGGAACTAGGCGGTCTGCATCTCCTCCTCTTCCTCCGCAGACTGGTAGTGTCGGTACTCTGCCTTCAGCTCCCAGGTGCTTTTGTGAGTGCCCTTGCTGTTGTAAGTGCCAATTTCCCTCATGATATCTTTCAGGTAGGTCTGCAAAAAAACAGGTTGGGATTAAAAGACTGACGAAACACTTGACCATATTAAGACATCCGTCTCATCACTGTGTTGTATCAGACCGTCAATGGATAGTTACACTTGTTTAGAATTCTTATCGGCTCTTCTGGATGTGTCAAAGAGAAGAGAAGCTTTTTTCACATCTGCCTGTTTGCCTGTCATAGCAGGACTGACCGTTTAACAGGGCCAGGAAAGCTTTTTCCCCATTACCGCCTGTTAACCAGCCTCTCTGCTATGCTAAGTGAACCATCTCCTGGCTTCACCAGTATGCATAAATGCATGACAGAAGAGCACTATGGTGAATGCTTCTTCTCTGTCTAAAGATAAAAAAAAAAGCCAATATATTTAAAAACACTTGCACATATGTTTTTTTTATTCTCTTGGTTTAAACTGTACATTAAAAAGTCTGAAAACAACAAAGAATGTTATTATGGCGGTGATATGTGAGCTCATTTCATGGCTAACACTTGACCTTAACAGACATGAGTGTCCTATCAGTCTGTGTGCTTGTAAAAATGTGTTTGAGGTACAGACATTGAAAAACAAATTCATTTGTCACAATCAACAGGAGCTGTGGAAGTCCAGTCAGGGACACTTTGTGTGAGGCTATACTGTCCAACCACCACTTGGTGTCTCTGTTGAGCTGCTACAGTCATACACGCTGTGCCGGATGAATAACTGATGTGCTGCTAGACTTTTCATAATGAACATTTCGGTTACTTTAGTTCAGTTGAATTGAGTGTTAGCCAAGTGCTTTAGGAGAGAAATGATGGCGTGGAGTGTATTGCGGCGTTTGACTCCTACTCAGCCAATGGTTATGCAATCAGATGCAATCAGAGGGAGAGGAGGACCTCAAGGTCTAATCAGCACCTACACAATGCTGTTCTCTGCAAACTGGAACGGATCCACTGCACTGTATCGATTTAACCAATGTTTGTGTGTGTGTGTGTGCGCGTGTGTGTTAGCGTGTATGTGTTCATGTGCATGTTGGCCCAAATTTCTGGCACAAAAGATAGTGTGAACAGGCATGAACGTCAGTCTGTGGGCGATCTTTTCAAATTTAACAAAGGAAGGTGGATAGTGGGCAGGTGTATTGTTTTTTGGTCTTCCAGCTATAGTGTGTGTGTGTGTGTGTGTGTGTGTGTGTGTGTGTGTGTGTGTGTGTGTGTGTGTGTGTGTGTGTGTGTAATGCTCACCACAGGCTGTTTGGTTATGTCCACCAAGTCCTTAATGTTGTAATACTGGTGCTTCTCAAAGGCAGAGAAGAGCATGTCCAACACAACCTGCCGCTCAGCGCGCACCATCTTCCCCTCCGACTTCTTCTTCTTGTCATGCTCCAACTGAGAATTATACAGAATATTATCACTTCCGATAATAACAATAATACTGAAACTTGTAGTATTGATAATCCTCTTATAATCTCACCAATATATATATTTGTTCTTTTTGAAAGCTGCTGGTTGATAAAGTTTCCTATCTTGACAAATTGTACTTCTAGTTAATTGTGTAGAGCATATTTGCATAAGCTGCTTCTGCTGCATAGAATAGGACTTTCATTGATTTTGCAATCACATGTAGTCAAAAATCCTGAGATATCCTGACTCCTAATCGTAACTAAAGGTTGAATCCTTTAAATCAGTGGAACTGGAACTGAATATCATCTTTTGACCCGACATGCTTTGCAAGTTTTCATCCTCTTCACTTGCACTTTGTGACACAATATTTGAGTTTTAAATGAGTAGACATGAAGCCCTGATCAGAAACAATCCTGATGACATCACTAAAGGGTCACCAGCCTTACAACCAGCTGTTACATTCTTTTCCTTTCAGAAATCCTAAACCTCTGGCCTGTAAAGACAGAGAACAGTGACAAAGTCCTTCACTATTTAGGAACATCATCAAATGTCTGACCAACAGTCTAAACTCCCAAGATATTTAGTTTACCACCACAGATCAGGACAAAAACAGAAAATATTGAAGACATGCACTCACATTGAAATCATGGTTGGCTACGGGCTTAAAGATGGTCGTGACTGCTCTCTCGAGCTGCTGTGATACACGCTGAGGCTTGGTGGACTCTCTAATCTGCAACCTGAAAAACACACATTAGAGAGAGAGAGAACGTTTGTTTGGGGTTTTCTTTGGTCTAACTCGACCCCGTCCAAGATATGTGCCCGTTGGGATGGAAGGTAATGGTCAGTACAAGGAGACTAAACCATCGTAAATAGTAACGGCTCCAGCTTTGTCCAAACATAATCTTTATACTTTTTTTTCTCATTTTCTCTGAGTCGATCATTAAGAAAACTATTTTAAGAGTGAATACTTCATAGTTTTGCAAAGAGTATGAGATAAAAACAGAGCTTGATGTACCTGCCTGACAGAAAACACATTAATAACCTCAATTAGTCAAGAAACACACACATAACTCTCCCTTTAGACATGAGTAATGGCCAACAGGTGTCTGAATCTTCTTGAACTGAGTCTGTCCACACGCACGCACGCACGCACGCACTGCCATGACCACATAATGTCCTACA